AGGCACCGGTATGGGACGGTGGCATACTAAGGATGGGTTTGGTTTTTAAATCAATACCATTGACCACCTACTTGGAATAAGAATGGGATTAACTAAAAGTTAAGTCCCGTGGATTTGTATTGTCATGGCAACTACTTGTTGAGCGGCAATACCAGGGATTTTGGATGGATTTTATATATGTACTGTTATGGTGTCTCGGTATGAGCTTGAGCCTCAGGACCGATGGCTAGGGAACGTATATGCATCGAGATGTGTAGCTGGCTACGATGGTTGGAGGTGTACCCTGTTTAGGTATAGGTACATATGCCCACTTCGTGTGCGTTTTAGCATGTTACCTCTATTCAGGTTGAGACCGGCCTGTAGTCCAGTGAGAGTCCTTTAGTGTGACTATATATATATTTACTGACTATTAGCTATTGTTGAATTGTTTAGGATGTACATGCGTATCGGGCCTTTGTTTAGATTGTAATAGTATAGAATTTGCGCGTGGGCCTGACCCACTTCTATTTTTCAGGTACACGATAGTTCCAGGCTTAGACGTGTTCGTGCTGAGCAGAGATCTCTATTCACTCTTCCGACGATGTAGGGCTCTCTCTATAGTTTTATTTCTGGACGTTTATTACATTTATTCTATCTTCCGCTTGGATGTTTAATAGGGGTCCACTAAAGATGGATTCCCAAGTTGTAAACTGATGGAGTTTTGGAGTTTGGGTTTGATGGATTTTAATAATTATAATATTTTGCGGATTCTATTTTTAGTTCCTTCCAGTTTTAATTTTATTTCTTAATTTATTTTGTATTCCGTGTTCATTATAAAATATTAATTGTTTGATATTCCCTCGGATTTGGGCCTGGGCCTGATCAACCCGTGTCTCGGATCCGAGGGTATCACAGATTACGATAAGGATTAAACCTACTGATTACGATAAGGATTATAGATTACGATAAGGATTAAACCTACAGATTATGATAAGGATGAAGACAGCGGTAACTTTACGTGACATCCTGACCTAAGCCCTATAAATAAAGGGGGTTAATCGACGTTTGGAGGTACGCAATAAATCATAATTCAATTTCTTAATTTCTCCAGAGAGATTACTTCTCACACTGATTTGTTCGTCGGAGCCTACTCCACCGGTAACACACCGGTGTTTGTAGGATCACATTTTCTTCTCTTTGTTCAGGAAGTCAGATTAGATCCAGGTTGCGCAGAATCCATCATCAACAGTTGGCGCAGTTTGTAGGAACATATTTTTGTCCTCTAAACAAAGCATGGTTCGATTGCGATCTGGTCTGGCTGCTGGTGAGGACGAAGCGTTGCAGGTTTCTGATAAAGAGGACTTAACGGGGCAACCCCCCGTCGTCCCAAACGATCAGGAACGTGTCGCAGTATTGGAACAACAGGTTTAAACCTTAGTCCAACAAAGTGCGATGATTCTACAACGCTTAGCCACCCCCAACGAGGAAAGAAACAATAAAGTACCCAACAATGAAACCGTAGGGTTAACAACAATGTTGAGCTTAGTCAAATAGGGGGTCAACAGAGGAGCCATCACCATCGATCCCCTGAATTGAATACCGCCAGGCTCTGTCGAGATACTTCTAGTTATGTCGGTGATAAAACTGAGGACGCCATTCATTTCGATCTAGAGATTCAGGATCTGAAAGCTAGAGTTGACGACGTTATGCAAGCGATAAAAGGAAGGGGCCAGGCTGCAGTGAACGATATGGTACAGAAGACCAACATAGCTTTTAGCCCAGCTATTATGAGTTGTCCTCTACCTAGCAAATTCAAGATGCCAATTCTTGAGAGCTTCGATGGGATGCGGGACCCTCTCGACCATTTGAAAACCTACGAAGCTCTTATGTATTTACAGGCCGTACCGGACGAGATTATGTATAGGGCTTTCCCTACCACACTAAAGGGTTGGGCTCGTATCTGGTTCAATAAATTAAAGCCAGGCTCCATTGAAAACTTTGAAGAGTTGAGCAAACAATTCATAGGAAACTTCATCGCTGGGCAGAGGTATAGGAGACCAGCAACACATTTACTGAATGTGAAGCAGCAGAAGAGAGAGCCTCTTTGTGATTACATAAGTCATTTTAACACTGAAATGCTACAGGTAGAAGAGGTGGACGACAAGGTTGCCCTCACAGCCTTTATGGGAGGGCTATAGACCTCTAAGTTCTAATTTTCCTTGTCAAAGGAAGCCCCTACGAGTATGACATAGTTAATGGTTAGAGCGCGGAAGCACATGAACGCTGAAGATGCTATGAATGCACGAAAAAACAAAGATGGTGAAGATAAGAGGTCGGATAAAAAGAGGCCGACACTTAGCACTAGGGAGGAAAGGGAATCGAAGTACAAGAAATTCTCAAATAGTCAGGCTGACAGATCGTCTCGCCGTCCAGTGAGCCTAGGCAGGTATAATAACTACACCCCCCTAAATACATATGTAGAGTAGGTTTTTCTGCAGATTCAAGATGACGTATCATTGAAATGGTCGCCAAAGCTAAAAACTGATCCAACAAAGAGGTCTCGAGATAAATACTGTAGGTTCCACCGGGACCATGGACATAACACAGAAGATTGTTTCGACCTCAAAAACCAGATCGAGAACCTTGTTCGTAAGGGTCATTTACTCAAATTTACGATTGGGAATGGAAAATGAGGCTTCAACCCAGCCCGTGAGGGCCGAGATGATCGCACTCCTCAACATCAACCAATAGGTGAGATCAGAGTTATATCAGGTGGCTTCACTGGTGGTGGGGAGACGAGTTCGGCTCGGAGGGCTTATGCCATGAGAATTCAGAGTTTTTCAGAAGTGAATGAAGTTGGAGTGACAAGTCCTCCAACAAAATTACTGCGAGTTGAGGAGCCGGTCATAACCTTTTCTGAAGAAGATGACAAGGGAATTCACCAGCCCCATGATGACCCTTTGGTAGTTTCCATGGTCGTTGCTAATTTCACTATTCGACGAATACTGATAGACAATGGTAGCTCAGCTGACATACTATTTCTTGGGGTGTACGGCAAATTGAAAATCGGCCGAGAGAAGCTCCGACCCATGAGTCACCACTGGTGGGATTTTCAGGCGATAAAGTATATCCACTCGGGACAGTTACCCTTCCAGTCACTGTAGGAGCCAATCCAAAGCAGATCACTGTATTGGTGGACTGCCCATCATCATACAACTTTATCCTGTGGAGGACAACATTGAATGCTATGAAAGCAATCACTTCCACTTACTATCTCCTGATGTGTTTCCCAACTGAGTATGGTATAGGAGAGCTAAGAGGGGACCAAACAATGGCTCGAGAATGTTATGTTTCCTCTCTGAGAAAAACAAAATAGCAAGAGGCACTTACAATTGAAGAGCTGGAAGGGAGAGATAGGCCAGACTTTCATAAAGCGGAATCTACAAAGGAGCTAGAAGAGGTCATCCTTGGTGATGGTGAACCCGAGAAGAAAGTGAGTATAGGGTCTTTACTCCCCCGAGGTATCAAAGATGAACTTACTCAATTCCTCAGGAAGAATCGAGAAGTATTTGCATGGGCGCATGAAGACATGTCGGGTATAGACCCCTACTATCATGGAGCACCGCCTAAATGTAAATGCTAACTTCAAACCTGTCAGACAAAAGAGGAGGACTTTTGCTCCAGAGAGGAATCAGGCTACATCAGAAGAGATGGAAAAGCTCTTAAAAGCCTACTTTATTCAAGAAGTGTACTACCCAGACTGGCTGGCAAATGTGGTCCTAGTGAAGAAGGCTCTACTATAATTCTAACTATCTATTATTATGTAATATTTGGGAATTGACGTTCCAGTGGTTTGACAAACAATCCTCCGAAATGGGAGGCAACTGATGGAGGTATAAATTAAATACCCATGGATAATGGAAGGTTGTTAAATTAACGCGCTATCTTATAAGATTAAGATAGGCTCTACAGATTACGATAAGGATTAAACCTACAGATTACAATAAGGATTATAGATTACGATAAGGATTAAATCTACAGATTACGATAAGGATGAAGACAGCAGTAACTCTACGTGACATTCTGACCTAAGCCTTATAAATAAAAGGGGGCTAATCGACGTTTAGAGGTACGCAATAAATCACAATTCAATTTCTTGATTTCTTCAGAGAGATTACTTCTCACATTGGCTTGTTCGTCGGAGCCTACTCCACCGGTAACACACCGGTGTTTGTAGGATCACCTTTTATTCTCTTTGTTCAAGAAGTCAGATCAGATCCGGGTTGCGCTGAATCCATCATCAACATATATATATATATATATATATATATATATATATATATTTCTGACCTGCATTCGCGGGCCCAAGAATCGCCATAGGCTTTAACATACAAAAAACTTGGTTGGAACCATGAGAGAGGATATGAAATCAAAATCGGCCCCTTTGGATCACAATGGAGACAAGAGACACTTTTTCAATTCCTTTCTCAATGGTATTATTTAACTGAAAACTCCCGTACCTTTTTAACCCCTTTAAATCCCTCCACTTTACCTTGTTTAAACTCATTTTAATTAATTTTTATATATGTATATATATATTAAACAAATTTAATTTCCACTCACTTTCAGTTTGAAAAGTGAAAAAATATCATTATATTAGTAGAAATAGCAACAAATCCCATTGTTTAGTAGGAAACTCTGCCCTTCTTCGAACCCTTTAAATTCATCTTTTTGCCTTGTTAAAACTCATTTTAATTATTATTTTGAGTATGCTTCCCTTGAATGATTAGTTAGAAGAAATCCACATTGAAAAATTAGGAAGCTTATTAGTGAGAGGAAATTGCATACCAACCTAACCCACTAGGCTAGCTAGCCATCTGCCATACCAAGGTTCCCAATTGGCATGGGAATTTCTTCTTTTATATATATATAGATATATATATGGAGTAGTGACAAGGACCGGACGGTCATTTTGCAATATCTACGTTGTTTATTCGTCTGCTACGCCGTCGTATCACCCTGCCAAACCTCTCGGTAACCGTAACCATTTTCCTTTCTTCTCTAGTCACTCCAGCTCTCTCCAAAATTGGAAAATCTGTGTCTATAAATTTGAGATCAGTCTCTCAAACGAAACACACACACTGGAACCACCTCAGATGGGAGACGTCAAGCGCAAAAGAGGACGAAAGCCCAAAAAACTAAAAGCTGAAACCCTAGATTGCCAAACCACCGCCACCAACGCCACCACGTCCAACGCCGCCATGGACGATGTCGTCTTCTCCGTCGGCAAGGTGGAGCTCATTGACGAACCCTCCTCCAACAACCTCCTCCGCCGCCGCCGTGGTCGTCCCCCCAAAACCTCCCAAAACGCAGAAAAACCCGACAAAACCCTTGTGGCCTCTCCCACGAGACGAATTGAGAACGGGAATGCCGTGGCGCATAATCTGGTTGCAGTGGCGGAGGGGCCTGTTGCTGCAGCGAGGTGGGAGAGTGCGGCGATGACGAAGATGGTGCCGTCGATGGATGCCGTGGTGAAGGTGTTTTGCGTGCACTCGGAGCCGAATTTCTCGCTGCCGTGGCAGAGGAAGAGGCAATACAGTTCGAGCAGTAGTGGGTTTGTCATTGGTGGGAAGAGGGTGTTGACGAATGCGCATTCGGTGGAGCACTTTACACAAGTCAAGTTGAAGAAACGTGGCTCTGATACTAAGTACTTGGCAAGGGTTCTTGCTATTGGCACTGAATGCGATATTGGTGAGAGCTTCAGTATCTGAAAAATTAATCCTTGCATTCACTCACCAGTCAATTTGAAAGTATCATTGTGCCAAATTCGTGTTATGCAAAGCATTATGCAATTTTTTATTTATTTATTTTTAATTGTGTGATTGTATCTTTATCTCAAATCTATATTATATGAAGGGACTGTTTGTAATGGTAATAATGTGGATTATGATCATGGCATTCTTGTTGTTAAGGTATATTTTGACTTTGCAGTGCTACAGCTGTGCTTACACTTAATGATGATGATTTTGGGAAGTTGGGTATATTGATTACATGGTCTTATTGTGATTTTTGAATGAGATAACTTGTTGAGAAACCTTAAGTATTGTCCATCGCAGTCATGCTTGAGTATTTTTGCTGAATCTGTGTTACATTGATAAGTGTTGATAATTGTATGTAAATTATGTTTGCTTATAAAAAATATACATGTATGTAGTTATGTGGATTGAAGTTATTTCTCATTTAATGTATATTTTGATGTATTTGTTGTTACAGCTATGCTTACTGTGGATAATGATGAATTCTGGGAAGGGATATCACCTTTGAAATTTGGGGATTTGCCTGCACTTCAAGATGCAGTGACAGTGGTTGGATACCCAATTGGGGGAGACACGATCTCTGTGACAAGTGGGGTTGTTTCACGCATAGAAATTCTATCATATGTTCATGGGTCTACTGAGCTTCTAGGGTTGCAGGTTGGCGGTTGTTCCATTTTTGTTCATCCATAATTGTCACTTCGACCATTATCCTGATGTCTGTTTTTAACATGGTTTGTTCTGCAGATAGATGCTGCTATAAACTCGGGAAATTCTGGTGGACCTGCCTTTAATGACAAAGGCAATTGTGTTGGTATTGCATTTCAGTCCCTTAAACATGAAGACGTGGAGAATATAGGTTATGTCATACCAACAACAGTCATCATGCACTTCATTCAAGATTATGAGAAAAATGGAGCATATACTGGTGGGTCTCATTTTAATTAACTTTCTTAATGATGAAATGTTTAGTTTACGAGTTACAACTTCTAATTATTTGGAATTTGGTTTTTTTTCAGTATTTTATGATATATTCTTTTGTGAATTGTGGTCTGTAGGGTTTAAAGTAGAATGAACCTATAACAGAGGAGCAAGAAAGAAGAAGATAATGGAGGAAAGGAACAGATGATCGTCAATTTATATAAATTTTACTTAACTACGCTTGAATGATAATGAAAAAACTCAATAGGACTTAACTATCCCTCTTAACATTTTTTCAAACTGGTGAACAGTTATCTGTCTTGCCTGTGATCTCATCTCAGCCAACTTAATTTTGGGAGCTCCTTTCTAAGGATGTCCTTAACAAATACTAACTAACATGCAAGGATTTAATTTTATCTGTTGGAATTTTTCCTTTGACGAAATGGCAGTTGTCTTCTCTATGTTTGTCTGATCATGTGTAAACAGGAATAAGGGACCAAAAATTGTCGCTTTATTCTTGCAATATATGCTAACTAGACCTTTTGCTTGCGATACTAGTTCTAAGCTCATATACATATACATACATGTATATGTGTGTATATATATATTTTTGATAAGTGTGTGTGTATATATATAATATATATATATATATCTTGCATGGTCGATCTAAACTTACTTTTTTTTTTTTTCCAAAACACTTTGGTGTGGTTCCAATTGCTTGCTTTATGCTCCAAGTAACATGATCACCCCCAACCATAAGATTGATAGCCCATCCTACCTGATTGACAATTTAAGTAATGCCAACAACTGTCGTAATGGTGACATTAGCGATGTAACGAACATGTGGTGTAGGTAGGGTTGTGGGATGTTAAGGGCTGTCCAAGCTTTGAATTTCTTCAACCTTGCCCAATTCCAAACTCCAAAGTTATTGACATGCTATTGAATCCCATAAATTTGGGTTTCTCATGAATTATGATGATTTTTTCTTTTGAATTTTTGAAGATGATTTAATATGGATAACAGTTAGTATATTTATTTTGAAGTTGCTTTCAGAAATAAAACTTACTATTGTTTTACCTTTTATTATTATTTTTCCCCACAAATGCACTTAAATAGGAAAACACGTCAAAGTTATTAAACAAAGCATGTTATATAGAATTTGTCTCAATGTTTTGGCATATAAGAATAGGATTTAGTTCTAACTTTTAACAATAGTTTCGTGGAGAATATGAGAAAATATTTTAGGTTAGACCCGTGATCTCTCTAGATGTAAATTGTAACAATAACTTCATGTCAGATTTAACCAATATGAAGTAAAAACAAGAGCATTACCACCGGGCAATTGGACAATGAGATATGGGCTCTCCCCCCTCCCCAATAAGAAAATAGCCCATAAAAATTTAAAACTTGCCGATTTGTGGAAAATTTTGATTCAAGAACTAAGCTTCAATCTTGTCTATTTAGAACTCTTGGAGGCTAGATCATAAACTGAGGATGGTCTTAGATAGAAGCATGAAATTTTGGATGAAAGAGGAATAAAAATTTTAGGCATATGATTCATTGCTGAAAGAGGCCATTATGGCATCGTCACAAAGGTTATGGTCCATTTTGGGCCATTATACATTGTAACCATTGTGATAATATTCTTCCCATTTTAATGGGGACATAGCTGGAATGTTACCCATTGTTAACGTTATGTAAGGTTATGGTCCATTTTGGACCATTATCCATTGTAACCATCGTGATAATATTCTCCCCATTATTAATGGGAACATAGCGGGAATGTTATCCGCTGTTACCGTTATGTAATGTTTGTTACACCCATTAAGGTCGTTATTTAAAACAATGCAGATTAGAGAATCCCTTCACTAGGACTATAATTCATACCTCTCTTCCTTGTGTGCTATTCGAAGTTGTTTTCTCTTGGGTGAGTGGATACTTTGTTCAGTAGCACTAAATGTATTGGAATAGGAATATTTGTGTTAAAGAAAGATAAAATAACAGTTTTACAAATCTCAACATCCGTTTTGATTTCACTCAGTTTATGAATTTGTTGTTTGTTTGGCATCCAACTTTTTGTACCATAATGTATGACTACTTTAATAAATTTTATAGAATTCACCTTGTAATTTTAGAGGTAAAAGCACTCTTCTATACCAAATGGGCAATTGCCCAACTGGTACAATCCCTCTTCCCCAAAGGGGAGGTCGGGCATTCGAGCCTCGGTGGAGGCATGGGTGTGTGTGTTTGCTTAACCTTCCAAAAAAAAAAAAGTGCACTCTTCTATTTAACCTATCTTACTTTAATTTTTTAGCATCATCTCTAGCTTTGTCTTTGTGGTTAATTGAGTTGAGGTAATTGAAATGCTTGCTTTTGTATCCTCTTCCTTGACCTTCACTACTTCTGCTAAACATATATGTCATATATTCAGTTTTTTAAACCTTCTTTATCTTAGAGCTTCTCTATACACCTCTTACTTAGTAATATCCTTGCTCTTTTTCATTAATTAAAATAACATCTCAGCAAATTGCATACACCTTAGAGTATCATCTAAATGTGTTTTGTCAGTTCATCAATAATTGACGCAAAATGATATGGCTCAATGTTGATATTTTATGTCAATCTAGAGTAATTGGTCTTGTTCTCCCACCTTTCCAACTATGATCACTGACTAATTGTACATGTCAATATATTCGTTTATGACCCTTTGTTTTCTAAAACAAATCATATTATACCTATAAGAATTCCGATTCCGCCATAGGCTTTTACATAATATCTATATAAAGATACTTTATTTTTCCTTCTTTCTCTTTTTGTGTCTTTCTGCTATCTTCTCAATATTTAAACGGTTTCCATTGTTGACCTCCCCGGTAAGAAAAGGGGTGGTTGGTGCTCTTTAGAGGAGAGATTTTTGGTAGGAGTGGGAGTTTGGAAATTCATCTAGGAGGAGTGGGATTAATTTTCAAAACACATTCAGTTCAGGGTGCGCAATGGCAGGAACATTTGTTTTGTGAGAATCAATGGTCCGGGGATTGGTCCTTAGCATGTGCATTTCTGAGACACTTCCAGATTGCAAGGAATTGGCATGTCTTGGCTTGAGGAAGGAGGGAGGGGGGAATGGATTGAGAAGGAGAGACTGAGCTTCGTACCCACAAGAAGCCAATCAGTTTGTTTTTGGAGTGTTAGAGCGCTACCCTTCTTCAGCAAATTGTGTGGCTAGGAGTGCAGAACCCATTTAATATTTGATTGTATAATCTTGCGCAAGAGGTGTATCTCTAGGATTTATACTTAATTTTCTTGTACCTTTGAGAAGCATGTAACATGCCATTCTATACATGATGTGTATAGATGATTTCCTTAAATCAAGCAATTGCTATACCCAACAGATCAAAGTGGCAGCTCAAGCAGAAAGCAAACTGCAGTTCAGATACTAGCATTGATGAGTTATGTCATTAGTACCATACACATAATCAGCTGCTGACAATTTGAAGCCTGGTCTAACGAAATGGGATAACCATGATTTTCTTATGCCAAAGCCATAATACATTGCATTTGTGGACCCATTTTTTTCTATAATCTTTAAAATATGAAATGGCTCCTGTAAAATTGACGCTGAATGTATAAAAAATTCTTCTAATACTTCCTCCGTCCCATATTAGTTGTCCATCTTTGAGTTTTAGCTTTGTCAGGGGACATGCTATTCATGCATTGTCCCATTTTTGAATTACTAAATCTTCCTTTTTACTTTAAATATATACAATGCCAAGTTGGGAGATTTTTGAAAAGTTAAGAAGGTAATTATGGAAAGATGGTATTTATTTTGTTTGACTTTCAAAGTGGACAACTAATTTGGGACATCCTAAAAAGGAAAAGTGGACTACTAATATGGGGCAGAGGTATTAATGTTTTTCGGGACCAACTGATGATTTCAAAGATAGAGAATACTGTGAAGAAATTATCAAATTTATGCTGACAGAACTACTTAAAAATAATCATCATGCTCAAGAAAGAATTCTGAAGCAGGATATGGCCTTCTCATATTAGGGCTTATGTTGTCATCTGTTATGTCAGTGTCTGGTGATTCTTGTATCGGTGGGAATTAGAGTGGTAACTGGTAAATCCCAATGAGTAGTAATGATCACCTTGTAATCTGAGTGTTCGGGAACCAATTTGAAGTCGTGCTGTTTGGTTCATGGGGCCTGAAGGAACAGAATTTGACAGAAAGAAGAAACGGATATGGGTTCAAGGATTTTATATCCTATATAGATGAAGTACTTGAGTACATAAATACCCGTGATTGAAGTGCAAAATTTCTGATAGGGTCAAACTATCATTCCCTACATGTTTCACATATGTTCCTAATTACTTTAGGGTGTTTTGGAGCATATGGTTTATTCTTTTGACAGAATCACATTTCTAGAGTTATCACATTACTCTATGGTTTATCAGCTGTTCGAATATAGTTATTAGTTTAAAGCCTGAAATTGTAGTTCCATTTTTAGAAGGAAAAAATTGGTGGCTAAATTGTTATTATTATATTTAATCTGCTAGGATTCCCAATACTCGGGGTTGAGTGGCAGAAGATGGAGAATGCTGATTTGCGTCTGGCAATGGAGATGAAACCTGATCAGAAGGGTGTTCGTATCAGAAGAATTGATCCTACTGCTCTAGAATCTAAGGTTTTGATGCCAAATGATATCATCCTCAGTTTTGATGGGGTCGATATTGCTAATGATGGAACGGGTAAGTGTCCTTTCTCCCCAAGCCCAAAATTTTCTTGATTTTATCTTTTACCTCTATTAAAGTACCCTTTGTCTTGTTTTCTTCTTCTTCTTCTTTGTTTTGTTTTGTTTTTGTTTTCTGTTTTGTTTAGTTTGTGTGTGTTGGGCTTCTTCTTCTTTGTTTTGTTTTTGTTTTCTGTTTTGTTTATTTTGTGTGTGTTGTTTATTTTGTGTGTGTGTTCTCCTTCTTCTTTTTCTTCTTTGTTTTGTTTTTGTTTTCTGTTCTGTTTATTTTGTGTGTGTTGGGCTTCTTCTTCTTCTTCTTCTTCTTCTTTGTTTTGTTTTGTTTTTGTTTTCTGTTTTGTTTATTTTGTGTGTGTGTTGGGTGTGTTATATATAATTCAGAGTTCAGGCTCACACTTGTATGCCTTTTTGCTCTTGCTTCTAAGTAAATTTAGTTTGTCCAGTTAAACTTGTATTTCCTGCAGCATGGTAGTTTCACTCATTATTTCAATCACTTCTTTTAAGGGATATGTTTTCTTTGTAAAGTCCCACCAAATTATATCCCTTGGTACTCTATCATATGCATTCTCTAAGTCTATGAATACAATGTGCAAATCTTTTTGCTTGCTTCTAAATCTGCTATTAATTTTCTATTTAAATCAATGGCCTCTATGGTAGATCTCCCTAACATTAATCCAAATTGGTCATCGGACACTGTGTATTCATTTCTCAGTCTTTGTTCTATAACCCTTTCCTATAATTTCATTGTATGAGTCATTAATTAAATTCCTCGATAATCACCACAATTTTGAATGTCCCCTTTATTTGTATAAATTGCTTATATAGTAGTTTTTCTCCACTCATTTTGTATCATTCCTTCTTTTAGAATTTTATCGATTAAATTTGTTAGTCATTTAATTCATACTTCCATTAAAGTTCTCCATATTTGGATTGGTGTATTATCTGGTCCTACTGCTTTATTTTTACCCATCTGTTTAAGTGCATCATCTGTCTCCCTATTATTTATCGTATTTATTAATTCTATTTTAGGTTCATTCCTTGTGATTACTTCTTTAGAATATTCTTCATTAATAGTTGTTGAAAGTATATTTTTCATATATCTAATGTGCAGTTTCTTTAACTAATAGCTTTTGATTTATGTCCCTAATGGCATCTAATTTGATTCATATATCTAGTGGCTACTTATCTCTACTTAAATAACATGAAATGTTTAATATGCCCTATAATATTACCTAAAATGACCAAACTACCCTCCATCAATATACACATGATACATTTTTTTTTTCCTGATCATCGCCGCCGATCATCAACGCCTTTCTCTGTCAAATCAATTTCACTCCTAACCACGACACCATAAGAAACATTTTCTTATGATTTGAATCTCTTGGTCAACCACAACACCACCCACCATCTCCTAACCCTTCTCTCTCTCTCTCTCCACACACCACCGCAATCACAACCCACCATTGAAACAAGCTTCGCACCACCGCCCAACCCTTCTCTCTCTTTCACCACCACTTCACGGCCCCACTACCGCCACTCCACAAACCCCATCACCACCACTTCACCCCTACCAATGGGTATTCTTGCATTATATATATATAAATTTGTCTCACTGTTACAATCCCACAACAAAGAGAACAAGGAGGAAACAAGGCCGGCGGGAGGCGGCGAGCTCGGATCATAGCAGGGGCGATGCAACTGGTCGACGAGAATGAACAGATCGCGTTCCCCACACGCACCACCACTCTGTCCAGACGAACCTGCGCGTAGATCTAACGCATATCCACGTGCCCATTCACCTACGCGTCATGCGTCTGCCGGCGCTGCTTTTCCGGTCTGTCGGCTCTCTTTTCTTCATAATCGGCATCATCAACAACTGAAATCATTGATGGAGAAATCCAAAACCCCAATTTCTGTTCAATTTGGGGGTGATGTGGTTGTGATTGTGCACCAAACCTGTCCCTCGCGGGAAACCACTGACGATCATCAACGCCGCCACTGGCTGTTTATATATAGAGAGAGATCTGTATGTGTGTGTGGCTTTGTGTGGTCGTGGAGAGCCGGAGAAGACGGTGGTTGATGGTGGTGGTGGCCGGAGGAAATGGAGTAAAAGAGGGGGAATACATATATGTATATGTTGTGTATGTGTGGTAAAATGTTTTTATTTTTTTTATTTCCTTAAAATTATTTATAAAGGTTAAAATGGTCATTTTAGGGATCAATTCAAAAGTTAAAGGGTAATAAGGTACTTTTAGAGGTGTTGGGGGTGTGAGTTTTCAATTTTGCAAACCTGGGGGCACTTGGATCACACTCACCCCAAGTTGTAGATGGGTGTCTTCAAAATTTTTTCATTTTGTATTACTTGTTGTGCTTAATCACTCTGTCTTGCTTTAGTCTCTCTGAATGTACTTTGCTACATTTCTAATATAATGTCATTTTTATCATAAGTTAATTACATTGTCATCCCAATTCCATTACTTTTCTTGTAACAGTTTTTCTCTAATGCTATCCTTGGAGTTCATTCCATCTTATTTGTTGATGTCCTCTTATTACCTTTTGGTTCTTGAAACTTTTATTGACAGGTCTACTGTTAATAACTAATGTTGATTTGTTAGCATTTCTCTAAGAATTACCTTACCATCTTTACACTTGGTCCATTCCCTTTGTCTATATAAAATATAATTGATTTGTGTTTTGTTTATTCCACTATTAAATGTTTTTTTTTTGATAAGTTATTCCACTCTTAAATGTTATTACATGTTCTTCTTCTTCTTTCTCTCTCTCTCTTGGTATTTATTTATTTTTTTAAATGTATCTGCTATAACTAAATCATTTGCTTTTGCGAATTCTAAGAGTGTTTTCCTTCATTTCTTTCACCAAAACCATATCATCAGCTGTTTGTAAACTCCAACATGATCATTGAAGTCACTTCCAATAAATACTTTCATGGCTTGGCATATTTTGTATTATTTCATCTAGTGATTTCCAAATATCCTCTACGTGTTTTATCTAATGCTCCTTGTGGTGCATAGGCACTTATTATTTTTAACACTATAGTATCTAATACTATTTTAATAGTTATTAATCTATCTTCTATTTACTAACTCTACAACTTTTTTCTCATGTAATTGTTTTCTACTATACCTACCCCATTTCTACCATTATCTTTATCACAATAAAAAAAGCCTGTATCTTCTCTGATCTCTCTAGCCTTTTCTCCTCTCTGTATTTATTTTCTTGTAGACAAACTATGTTGATGTTTCTTCTTTTCAATGTGTCCATAAGTTCATTACAATTGCCAGTTAATAATGTCCTTATTTTATATAAAATACACTATGAAACTTGAAATACCTTCAGCTATCTAATATCAGCGTAACCCTCTTCTAACCTAATCATGGAGGTTGCAAGATGCTGTTAGGACAAGAGTGTGCGGAGGACTTAATTAAAGCTAAACAAATAAATAACTTTATTAAATTAGAAATAAATAAAAAAATCACAATGGAGTAAATTAGCTGGTGGACTATGCAGCTTTACAGTTGATATGATGAAATAGTTTACTGGACGCTCTATAACATTGTAAACCATTGCATGTTTTGGATTTATATTTTTAAAGACTATCCTAAAGGTGTCTGTTTATTAATAAACTACAGGGTTAATTGCAGAAAGCCCCCTCGAATTATTCTCTCTCTCAAGAAACCCCCATACTATTCTCTCTCTCAAGAAACCCCCCTGTAACTAAATTGGTGTGTGACAGTCACGTGAGTCGTGACCTAGGCATAAATTTTAAATGACAATTTGCCTTATTACAGTTATTATGTTTAATGATTTTTAACCCCCAAACTGTATCGGACCTCTTCGTTCGTTCACAAACCCGAACCAAACGAAATCCCCAGCAGCCTTGTTCTCTCTCTCTCTCTCTCTCTTCATCTCTATCTCTATCTCTATCTCTATCTCTATCAATTTTAACCTAAATTGAAGGATAACTGAAAGAGGAAAAGTAAAAAAGCATAACCAAATTTTGCATTATTCAGCTTTCTTTCTGTATTCCTCTCTATCTCTATCTATCAATTTTCTAGAGGTTGGTGTTTGGAGAGTGATTGATCAAAAGAACAGTGCATAAAAACCGCAGAGCTTGTGGTCTGAAATCGAATCGCCGTCCACTGTGAATTGTTAAAATGAAAGATTGATAAATTAGGGTTTAAATTGGTCAATTTCTAGGGTTTCAATATTGATCTTGACGACGAATTGGAGCAGAAATTACTGATTCACTCCTCACTTTTCAATTTGTATATGCACAATCAAATCGACCAATTTCTAGGGTTTCAATTTGCAGAGGTCAATGGTGAAGCCTTTTCAGTTTGTATGATTAGAGAGAAACTTTTGAGAGAGAGAGAGAAAGAGAGAGAGAGAGAGAGGAGTGCTTGTGAAAGAGAGATGATGGCGGCAGAGACAGTGGTAGTGGTGCTGACGGGGAGAGAGAGTGATGGTGACTGTTGACGGATAGACATGGCTGCCGAAGGGAAGAAGAATCTTATATATATATATATATGTATATAACTATATATACATAATCTGTAATATGGAATTGTATATATATAAAGCCTCTCTGCATGCGGAGGTAAGGCTGTGTACATCTGACCCTCCCCAGAGCCCGCAATGGCGAGAGTCTCGTGCACTGGGTTTGCCCTTTTTTTTTTTTTTTATTAGTTTATTTTTAACTTACCCACCTAGTTGGTTGTCACTCTCTCATTAGACAATATTTGTCTATGTCAGCAAGATTACAGGTTACATTAGACAATATTTGTCCATATCAGTAATTTTAAATTCCTGTTAACAGCTGTTAGACTCCTTGCCCTTAAGTGTGGATTTTCGTTAGTTCAGGGGGCAGTTTGTAGTTGAGAGGGGTTAGTTGGAAACGAGTGATAGTTCAGGGGAGTTCTATCATCTATGCAATTAATCCTAAACTATAGGTCTTCCTTATTCTATCAAACTTTCACCAGTTAATCAGTTGTTCACCCAGAATACAGCACCATCTCAAGATATTTGGTGAAAGCAGTTTTTATTTCTCCCTAACAAATCAGTGTTTTCTAATGTATTTTTCTTTTTTCTTTTTTTACAGTCATGAATTATTATATTACTTTTTGTTGCCATGTACGTGGTTATTGATACTATTGTGTCACATAATATCGGCTGTTTCAGGTTGCAATTGAAGTATGTTTTGTGATATGATAAAAGCACTGTTCAACAGTCAAAATAGTAATTTGAGACAATCTTTTCTTTAATGTGCTTTGGATTATAAAACTAGGTTGGAAGCTGCCTATACCTTAGAATGTTTGGTGATGCATGTATGCTGGCAGATGCTGTAGTATTTTGGGATGATCTCTCGGACTTGGGTGGCTGGATGATCACAAAGTTGGATCTTCTTCCTCTACGTTGTAGTTGATGTGCTATTTTTTGACGTAGTTTAATGTCCATATTTGAAGTAATATATAAACTTTCTGCCACTCGTGTCTAACAAAATCCTTATGTTGGAACCTTAACACATACCAATATTATGTTATTGTACCATAAAGCATGGCTTTTCTAAATTTACAATCAGAACCTAAAATTGGAATACTTTCCGTTTTCAGTGGTTGTCCTCCTGATTTTTTTCTTTTCTTTTTCTTTCATTCTTTCCTTTTTATTTATTTATTTTTGGATGGCTTAAGTAGTGGTCCTCTTATAACATATTTAAGGATTTAAATTCTTTGTCAATTCAAGTAAGAGGCTACTGGAGCTTGGGTTCTTCATGGACAAGCTCTACAAATAAGTGATCTTGCCTCAATTCTTCTTACGATTAAGCTGTCACAGCCCAAGTTTGAGCTGATCTTGAAAAATTTACGTGCTCCAAACCAGGATTGAGGTTGCCTTGGATATAAATATTTGCATACTTCTTGTTTTTATGTGGTACGTGTCTATGATCTTGTTATATTTATAAATTTCTCCTAATAATTCAATTACAAAATTTGGAGACATGCCTTTATTTGAATGGAATGGGAAAATATAATTCATGTGGTCAACCCCATTTGTTTGGGATAAAGGCTTTGAAAAATTATCTTAATAATAACATGTGAAGAGCAATGTAAATTCAACAATTGTTGTAAAACATTTATACTGTTCTTTTAAGTTCAATAAACAATTTTGAACATAGTATTTTATCTTTATGTTTTGGAGTTTATCATTGCTTTTGATAAAATATTCAATGCTTACGAGGAAAAGCAGGTTCATGGTTACAGCTGTGGCTTGCCTTGAAGTTTTGAATCTGGCACTCATAAATGAAAATCTCTTTTTAAGTTTTCTCTTTGTTACTTTATTATGCATTTTGGTTCTGTTATGCTTCTAGTGACTGGATTAATGCTCTGGTGTTCTTGCAGTTCCTTTTAGGCATGGAGAGCGAATTGGTTTTAGTTACCTCATCTCTCAAAAATACACTGGAGACAATGCCGTGATTAAAGTTCTTCGCAATTCTGAAGCACTCATATTTGACATTAAACTTGCGACTCACAGAAGGCTCATTCCGGCACACAACAAGGGCAGACCTCCCTCGTATTACATTATTGCAGGACTTGTTTTTGGAACTGTTTCTGTTCCATATCTCCGTTCTGAGGTTTGTGTTTCTCTTTGAAATACTTGTGCATGTGTTTGCATGCATGTGTGCCAGTACAGTAATTTTAATCCTCAACTCAACTCAACTCAATGCGGTTTAACTCAACAAAACATTAATCCCTACTACAGGCATCAGATATTTAAAAGATCTTTGCTTTTTCTTATATATTTTATATTACTTTTTATGTTGCCCAGTAATCTTGTGTTTTTATTTCCATTAAACTTCATCTTGATATTTGATAAAGATTGTAAGTCCAGTTTGACCATGAAATACCATTCTCTTCAATGTTCATACTTGATATTATAAATTGATATTGGTTGTTCTAGTTGATCCTAATTGCCTTACTTGTGTAATTGGTAGAAAATTCCTTTGTACTTATAGTGACCGGATACTGATTAGAACTGTGCATGTTTTGCATGGCAGTATGCACTGAGTTAACAGGTGTAGGTGCCTACCGTTCGGACGAGCAAAATTGACCTATTTTTTTGTCAACTTAATTAGATATTTAGATATTTCCTATTTATGTAAATGTCACATTCTTATCTTTGAAACTTCTTCAGGGCCTCATATAATCCCCAAAACAGCAGTTGTCGTAATTAACCATGTGGACATGGCCCAAATTGCTTCACTAGCAACACAGAAATCATGGCCGATTATATGTTTAAAGTTATTGGTAAAATTTATTTTTAGTTTCCCAATTGAGAAATACATTTCATAATTTTCATACTTCACTTTGACGGTAGCAATGATCTTTATCTTGGGTATTGAGAACTATCTAATTTTAATTGGAAGTTTGCAATCACCTGGGCTACTTATTAAAAAAATAAAAAATCACCTGGGCCACAATTAAAAAAAATTCTGGTTGAGAATGATGATCAGGGAGTAATTGCTTCAATTTTAGGGAGCACAGTGGATATCATGGTGTTTTGAAAAGATCTGCAGAGCTACTTTAGACTCTAATATAAATTTCTTTTAGAGGTGATCTAATCTCTGTTTGGGACATGAATATATTAATTTGAATGAAATTCTTGATTTATTATCACGACTGCTCTAATGCAAAGTAAGAGTTGAATCTCTGGTTGCACCCTTGTCCATGTGAAGCGAAGTAAGAGTCTTTTATTGAGAAACATCCATCATAAATTACTCAAGTTACCTTTTCTCTTGGGTATTTTGATGGACAGACTTGGAGATGTTAATTGATCTATTTTAGGATTTCTTTTTCGGTGGCATCTATCATGAAATCATTTGTGATCAAACTTGATGACCTTTTTAGATAAAATTAGTTTAGTTAAAGTGAAATAAAATCTTTGGAAGGTCGACTTCACAATAGCTGACCTGCTTGCAAGTAACCAAAATGATTTAGGAAGCGAAATTCAAGTTTAAGTATAAAGTTTGATCATAACTTGAACCACAGGTTGGACAACTCCTGGCTTGTTGGTTTGGCAGGGCTTGTGAAGAACGAACAATTGTTGACTTTCTGAGTCTAAAATGTAAAGACTCCTAGGACTCCAACTGATTCTTGTTTAAAATACACTATGATTAAAAGATTCATAGGATTTACATTTTATATCCGCAACTTGAATATGTATATTGATTTTTTTTTCATGGAAGAGGTTGGTTGATGAAAGTGGAGATTTGCTTTTGGGCATTGTCTCCTAATCATATACTGGGGAAAAAAATGCATAGTTTAAAAAAAAAAGAAAGTTAGACTCAGTTCTATGCATTAGACATTTTGGTAATCTATGGATCATGTTTAATTGAATGTTTATTATTTCTAGTTGGTGATATCCGTCTGTAAATTGCTTGTGTCTGTACTTGGGCTATGCGGCCCATGCCATACCCTTTTATTGTTTCTAAGAATATGTTATGGAGTCATTACCTAGCATGGTGCCCGTTAATCGGGAGTGCTGGGAGGTCCAGACTAGATACAGACCTAATCTTTGGCATTATTTGCATGGAGCGGCTGCTATCGATTCGGACCTACATTCTCATGCTTGACAGTCCAAGTACTTTGTTAGTACACCAACAAATAGCCCTTTGTTTCTAGGAGTTTGTTATATAATAGAATTTGCCTTTAAATTCATGCTATCAATTAGTGTATCATTGAAGAATTGGTAATTAATTACAATTTTTTTAATGATGAGTTTTTAGTGATTTGTCATTAGAACATTGTCTCAACTATTTTTTGCACCTCCTCTGCAGTATGGTAAGGATTATGAATATGAAGCTCCAGTCAAGCTTTTAGACAAACTTCTGCACGAAATGCCACAATTACCAGATGAGCAGCTTGTAGTGGTTTCTCAGGTTCTTCCTCTTGCTTCTCTCATGCTAAGTACCTCTAATGTTATAACAGAGGTGGTGTGCCAATCTCCCCCCCCCCCCCCCCAAAAAAAATAAAAGTAGTTGTTGTGCCAATTCTATATTCATAGTTCTTTTTAATTTATAATAGGTGCTTGCGGCCGACATCAACATTGGATATGAAGATATTGTCAACACTCAGGTTCGGAATGGATGCAAGTGCTTGCGCTGTTGATAACTAAATTTGATGAGTCTGGCTGTTGCTGAATGTCTTTTTTCCATTTTGGGCAGGTTCATGCTTTTAATGGTAAGCCTGTGAAGAATCTGAAAAGCTTGGCCAGTATGGTGGCGAGCTGCGATGATGAGTTTTTGAAATTTGATTTAGAATACCAACAGGTTCTCTCTCTCTCTCTCTCTAGTGTGTGTCTGTGGTGTGTGGAATACTCAATTGAGATTGCCCCTTGATATACTTGTGTTTTTCTTATGCAGATCGTGGTCCTTAAGACAGAGACTGCCAAAGCAGCAACTCTAGACATCCTGACAACGTATGGCATACCTTCAGTCATGTCTGATGATCTCAAGACATGATATCAGATGATCGCCGTGGCATTAGTTTTCCATTTTGACCTCCCAGTGGCCCCAATTTTGATTTTTTAGCCTCTTGGAGTTCACATTGGGTGCACTGACCTTTTCATTGAAGTTACTCAACATCCATAAGGAAGAGTTATTATTTGGTAGGTATGCTTGCTAGCTACTTGTTGGTAGTTTTTAGATATCATTTGTTGACTTGGTGCTGTGAATGTGGAGTAGATCATTTAAGGCCAGTTGAATGCATCCCGCTTGGTTCTATATATATACTCCACTTGGAAGGAGTCTTCGAGAGGATTGATCTAATTATGATGATTTTCTGCTTGGGAGCATCCTGCTTCTTTATTTATTTTTCTGCCTTAATCTATTGGGCCGTATTGAGGATACACAAGTCTTGCTTATAATTTATGTTTATTACAAATTCAACAGTTCATGTTCAGGAAATTGATAAACTTTCAGTTTGCAATGTCCATATGTGTACCATGGGTTCTGGCATAGAATATTGTGGGGGTATATAGCGGTTAACTGAGCTAGGAGGGGAATGTAGTTCAATTTGGAGTGGGTAGCATATCTTCCGCGGAAAGTATTGTACACTGAAGGGATTATCATTTTGGTTTGTGGCCTGCTATTTTGTACCTCTTTGAAAGTTGGCCTGGCTGAGTGATGAGCAAAGATGGTTATCTATATAGGCCATGGAGTTTGGGGGCCACTGAAATGCCAGAATTCAAAAAGATTCATAGGTATGGAGGGTTGCAGGAGTCTGTTCTTGCACCCTTGGATTTTATGGCTTTTTATCCCTTTTTGAGGCAGCTTCATTAAGAATGTATGCATGACTGGGAATTGATTTAGTATTTCCGCTAATTAATAGTGTCTTTTTTCTTTTTATTTTTTATTTTTTATTTTTTATGTTTGCTTTTGCTTTTAAATCTTTCCCTTCCAAGGTTCCACCCAGGAATTACTAATACAAATTTGAGTAATGCTGGACATCATGATTTTTTTTTTTTTGAGATAGCTATAATTTTATTTTTTACTTTTAATCGTGGACCCAATCATAAATTTGTAAATTGAAACAATAGTTCATCAATGGAGGTGCCATAATGTTTCATTTGATTTCATAAAGTGGACCCTTCATTTATTGAATTCTTGGAGTGAGTAAAAGACACATACATGTAAAATTTGGTGGAACACTAATTTCAACTAGTTTCTCTTTATTTCATATGTCTAAGCTCATCACCTCAACTTATTTGTGTATTTAAATTCAGACAACTAATATAGATTATAGGGTCAGAGTTTAGGCTTGGCTGCTGGTTAGTTTTGGATTAATTGGAACCTCTTTAAAATAATAATAATAACTTTTCTTCATACTAAAAATGTGATTTTATTAATTTTTATTTTCTTATAATCAACTCATCAGCAAGACAATTTTGGACTTCGAATATTTGAGACACACTCAATTGTTGTCCGTAAATCACACATTACAAAAGTTGATTGTTTTATGCATGTAAGTGACTTCGCAGGAGAGAGGTGTCTATATCATCCACGGAATGGATACTCTTTTTGTCTTCTTTGGATTGTGACCACATCACTCCATAAAATCCCACAACAATTACAATTGCTCCAATTACACTGTCAAAAGAAAACAAATTTATATAATAAGATTATTATTGTAGCAATTTAGGAAAAGTCATTTAGTTGATAAAATGATTTTGATAGCTTCTCTAAATAGGACAAGTAAGTAATCATGAAACTTTTCAATTCCCTTCCAATTCCACTAGACCAAACTCTCATCATTGGGGGGTCTGTATCTCTCTAGTCAACTATATATATATATATAGAGAGGGAGAGGGAGAGAGAGAGAGAGAGGTTACCTTCCAACATGAAGTGTGTCACCAAGGAAGACAACACCCATTAAGGCAGCAATAGCAATGCCGAGGGGCTTGAACATGGCCACAAACACAGGACCTTTCTTATTTATGCACCATGTTTGTGTGCAAAATGTCACTACACCTCCAAAAACAGCCTACAAAATAGAGAGGCATCAATTTGGTGAAGGTTAGAAAACTTGAGAAAACTTGATTATTCCAATTCCCAAACAGAGTTGCAAAGCATTTGGGTGTGTGCTTAACTGAGTACATGATAGAAACGAGCTCAATGTCAGGCTTCAGTTTCCAAGTATTTGGGTGACCTTTCTCTGCAACTAAAGCAACTACTGTGCATTGAATGGTCCCAAACAAGCAGTAGAATGCCACTATGGTCATCTCCGATGGGTACCCTTTTAGAATTGCTGCCTTCAAATTCGGTATGAAGTATCATCAGCTTCATCCTCACAAAAAGAATGTTAATTTTTACATGTGTGTGTTTGTGTGTGTGTTTTTATATAGAATGTTACCTGAGAAGTGTTCCATATTGAAACAGATAAGCTAGCAATTGCAAGAAAAAGGCCTCCAACAATCCAACTATTTGGAGTTGCTAACATGGTGGAGAAAGATGGGTGTGACAAGAGAGAGTTTTTTGAGGATTGAATCGACAAAGAAGCGATAGGAGGACCCTTGTACAGAGTTACAATCAATGCTCCTGAGATTGAAACCAAAGTTCCCATGATTTTTATCTGGCTGCTTGACCTTCTCAAATCTAAATTTTCCATCCTATAAGAATCAAAGAAAAGATGGAGAGAACAAATTCTGTATATATCAGTTCATTTTCTCAATTTATTTGTTTCAATTGGTGAATTCACCTCAATAAGAAACACTCTTTATCTTTTTCAGGTGCCTTATTGGTAAGATTACATCTGAGAAAGTCACTTAATCTCGTTTGGAATCAGTTTGGAATCACTGAATCAGCGCCTTGAAATTGGAATTAGAATTGAAGAAAATTCAGTTTAAATTTGAAACTAAATTTTCTTCGATTAAGACTCCGTGTTCCCAAACATAGCAGCATTAGGTTATTATTAATTTTTTTTTTTAATTGTCGTTGACAACAATATGTCCAGTCCCCATACCCTCAATTATTGAAAGGCTCTCTCTCTATATTTATATTATCCATCTATCAAATCATGTAGAAGAAAAAGAGGGCAAAACCTGAAGATAACAGCAAGCAAGAAAGTGAAAGCTGGTATCAAATTGCTCATGGCAGAAGCAAGGGTGGGAGAGCTGTAGTCTACACCAGTGAACACACAATTCTGCATCACAGTAATTCTGTGTGTATATATATATATATATAGCAAACAACAAATACCAATTAATTCATATTGTTAAGGGAAAAAAAGCCCCAAATTCTATTTAATCAAATGAAACTGTTATGATGCAACTACAACATACCCAATAAGGCTGAGGAGGAAGAATTTACAGAGGAGAGAGAAGGTGAGTGGAGGTCTATTTTTTCTGCAAAAAAGAAAAATTAGAGAAAAGAAAACATGGGATTTGTTGTAAATATGTAGAAGATGATATATATATAAATATATATATATATAGAGAGAGACCTTTGGATGATGAATGATAAAGGGAGGAGGATGAGAGTGGCAAGGGCATTTGAGTAGGCTACAAAGACAAAGTGGCTCATCCCTCTGGACATGGCTGCTTTGCTCAGTGTGGTTAAGCCAACATCAAGGCACTCCACTATCACCATCGCTGCAAATGGCAAAACTCCCACCAAACAGGACATCACCTCCATTCTCTCTCTCTCTCTCTCTCTCTCTATCCTGTGCTTGATCGAAAACAAAACCAAAAAAAAAGAAAGAGAGAAAAAAAGTTGATGATCTAAACGAGCAGATATTTCTACTACCAATACAAACGCAACAACAAATTAAAAAAAAAAAAAAATGAAATAGAAATAGTGTGTGAATAGATAAATAAAATATATATAGTATAATATATACAAAATTAATTTTTGGCCTTTTTTATCTAAATTATTACAAATGTGATCATTAATTTAAAGCATAGAGTTTGAATGCTTTTTATTTATTTATTTTTTTTGTCTGAAACTTCATATTACTTTTTATTAATTCAGAATATGATTTAAAATATCATTGAAACCCGTGATTTTTTTTTTTTTTGAATTGAAGTTTTAGATGTCATAAAACTTTCAGGAAAAATAAAATATTGAAAAATTCATATAAAGTGGGAATTTTTGTAGTTTAATCAGAATACAGTTAGCACGTTTGTGTCATTATTTAATACTAGAAACTCCAATCACATAGTTTAAAGGCATGCCGTGGTAACCTCTGAAGCACGGCTAATATTAATTTAGGCAATATCGTGTGAATTGATCTCAACCATTCCTTAGTACTCACACAATTTTTGTTAATGTAGCCATTAATGTTTTCTCCTACTTCCATCACTTGTTAATGTTTTCTCCTACTTCCTATCATTTTATAATGTTTGGCAAGCGTTTTATTCTTACTATTTTTGTTTTTGTCGAGTGCAGTAATAGTGAATAATAGAAAAGAGATGTGTTGGTAAAAATTGTCTTGTTTTGCACAGAGACGTTTCGTGAATAGTGGTCAAAGATCGAAACACCAAAATTTGATATTTTTGTATGTTTCGGCATTATAACGTTTGGTACTATAGAGATAAACAATAATTTTGTTTTTTGAAAACTCTTAAATGACATTTTTAAACCAACCATTATATTTTTTAAACTTACAACACTTTTATACTAAATATATTTTTATGTTTACTTTAAAAAATCTTATAACAAATAAATATTACAAAACATGGCTTTTAATAACTATTCAAAACACTCCATAACTTTTTTTGTTTTGGATTCCTATTCCATTTTCTTTTGTTACAATGAGCAGCAGGCCAAGACCGCCATGTTTTCCAAACCAATTAAGTTTGGGCTCAATTCTTACCAATACAAATAACAAAAAGAGCAAAGATCGTTTGTTGGTACAAAGGGTTTGGGCCAGAAATAGTCGGGCTTCTCATTCCGGCTCAACTTGTGGGAAAAGGGCTCTTGTATTTCAGTACTTGTTACTAAACTTAGACCTAGATTGGAATTTAGATCTAATTTTTCATTTTATTTTTATTTATTTTTTTTCCCTCTTTTTCAGTTGAAGTGATAATGAGTTTGATTTTTTTTTTTTTTTTTTTTTCACAAACTATTGAAAGGGAATTCGGATACGGGGCACATCTGTTTGGAAAGTCAAACGCTTTACTAATTAGGCCACTGAATAATTCCAGATAATAAGGTTGGATTGACTTGTACGAGAATAGTCAATTTTGTAAATAAAAAGCTAAGTTAGATTTGTCGATAGCATTTCCTTTCAATAACAGGATCGAAATTGTTGAAATAAAATATTTGTAAGACTTGTTATCACGAATGTTATGGTACCTTTATTGAATTGTATAGGTGTACAAGAGATCAGATGAAAAATGGAATAATAGGAGTTGAAAAGTGAAATGAATGAAGTATGGAAAATAAAATTTAGATTTATTTTTGAAGCAGATTTGTCTAATTTATAGGTTTTTATTCTCATTTGATATACTAGATAGGAGTTTGACTACATCAAAAGAAAATCGATCCCAAACGAGCCAAGTATTATTACTCACGAAATATACGACAACTTGCTTCTTCCTTCCACTGTTTATTCTTAAATATTTTGGAACTTCATATTACATGATTTTTTTAATTAAACCCAATTTTAGATTGTTGACATGTCTTGTAAGGGCATAAATGTATCTTGGTTGATAGTCTTCATGCACTAAGAGCTTGGGTTTGTGATTTGTGTTTTATGTGTTGTCGAGTTCAATTAATTTTTTTTGATTCTAGAGTGAGTGATCTATTGGGAGACGAACATCAAATCCAAAATTTTCAGTAGAGGCGGACACACCACTCTAGCCCTTGGCAGTCACAGCTGTTAAGCCTCAAAACTACAAATTTACCATTGTAAATTCAGCCAATTAGCTTTATAAACATCATTTGATTGCTTCTTACTCAAACCAACTAATTTTTTCACTAAGCTGGGCATTGTCCATTTACAATGGACCGTGTCCCAAACTTCGTAGTCGTGTTTATGTTCTTTCTCATCTTCGCAATCACACATGCAGAAAAAGAAGAAGTGAAGCAGGCACTAGTAACATTCATGGGGAAACTCTCTCCTCAGAACGTGCAAAGGGACGCGAATTGGGGTTGGAATGTGACCTCAGACCCCTGCATTGACAAATGGCGCGGCGTGGGCTGTGACAATGGCTTACAGACAGTGAAGAAGATAGCTCTTGATGGCTACAATTTCACCGGAGTTCTTGATGCCGGTTCTCTCTGCGTGACAACATCCCTTGCTGTCCTTAGCTTGAGTGACAACAATATCAGCGGAGAGATACCAACACAGATAGCAAATTGCAACGACTTGGGTCACTTGTATCTTGGCGGGAATCACTTCTCGGGAAACCTTCCCGCCTCTCTCTCCCAGCTTCGCAACTTGAAGAGGCTGGACGTGTCGAATAATGACTTGTTTGGTGAGTTGCCTGATCTGCGTACAATTTCAGGATTGCTATCATTTTTAGCTCAAAATAATCAGCTCAGTGGAGAAATACCAAAATTTGATTTCTCTGAACTGATGCAATTCAATGTCTCATACAACAATTTAAGTGGTCCAATTCCGGATGTGAATGGCCATTTTGGTGCAAGCAGCTTTATGGGTAATCCTGGATTATGTGGCGAACCATTGCCAAACCCATGTCCAATGCCTCCACCGGCTAAAATATCGAGAGGGCTCTCTTACTTGGTACCAAACTAGTAGCTAGCATGCAGCTAGATTCGAATTCAGATTCTTTGTTTTGAATTTCAGATTTAGTTTGTGGTTTTTTTTTTTTTTTTTTTTTTTTTTTTTTTTTTTTTTTAAAATTTACTTATAAAGTGCTTGGATTGAGTTTGACGACACAGATTCAAGTATGAGAACAGTCGTATTGCAAGTTAGATAGAATCTGGATCCTCTCGTGCGCCGTTCCTTTATATTGCTTATGCAATACTTTACATCACTTAAGAAACAATTACATTTTGTTGCACTACGATTCAAAATACTCCTTGGATACCTTGCAAGAACAGGATTTGAAAGAAAAATATTTGCATGAGTATATTATTTTTGCTCGTAAATAGTGAAAGTTATCGAGCGATTTTGACAATGGTACGTATTTTTGAGAAATTATAAAAGAGCAGTATTATCAGATGAAAATGGAATGACTGGTTAAGAAGTAAAATGGATTACATATATGACATATTTTATTTCATTTTTTTCTTCTCAAGAAATTCACATATCTATTTGCTCATAATTTAAATACTCAAATTTCATTTTGAGTACGGTCTTTAGTTCTTCGTTCAACTATATTATTCCAAGTATTTTGGTACTTCATATTATATCTTTTAATATAAATCCAATTTTGTATTGTTGATATGGCCTGTAAGGGTACTAAAAATGTACCTTAGTTCTTGATCACATTTAGAGCTTGGATAATTTGTAATATATACTGTTTTCATAGTCTTGTGATGATTTTTGTGATTTGTCTTTTATTTGTTGTCTAGTCCATTTATTTTTTTCTGATTATAGAGTGATTGATCTACTGGGAGACAACATCAAATCCAAAATGCCGAAATGGCTTTGTAGTTTTTAGATATATAATTTAATAAGAATTCTGTACATGAAGTTGGAGGAAATTTCAATGAAACGCCACGTTCAATTCAACATAAAATAGTTTAAAATCTTAAATGGTTTTCATAAAAATAATTGAATGAAAAAAATGTCATTTTTGTCATATCAATTCGGTATTTTGTTTGAAATATTGATTTTTTTTTTTTTTTAAAGAGAAAATTACACTTACAAGGAGTCCTAAATAATAGAGTGATTAATTTTTAAATTTTATTTTTCACTTTGATAGAGTTATAAATAATAATTACATATACATAGAAAATTATTTTTTAGGTCTAAAATACCCTCCAAGTCTCTTTCTCCAACGTACTAAATTATTCTTCTTAAACTAAATAATTCATTTCATTCAAGAAATTCAGGAAAATAAGGAACCACTCTAGAATACAGTATACTTATTTTTACTGTAACGACCCAAATCCTTATGGATCCGGATCATTAAACGGATCCTTACCCGAGCCAAAATCATCCGAGGGTAAAACGGTATTTTCACATAAAATTTAAATAACAAGGTCCAAAAGGGCAAAATGGTAATTTGTTACAATTCAATAAATTGAGACTCAAGGGTACAACGGTCATTAACTTGTGTCACATAGTAAATAAAATAAGGTTCGGGGCAATATAGTCCTTTTGGGGATTAAAATATAATTATGACATTTTAGTGGGTCAAAAAAAATAATTACATGTAATTTCACTTAGTGCCAAAGTGTAATATAAGAACTTAAATAGTAATTACATATGTACGTAAACTGGTCGACATATATGCATCAAACGTCGACTGGTTTGGGTTATGAACAGTGGTGATAGCCGCTGCCGAGATAGCGGTCGACGTGTGGGAAGTTACATGTCAACTGGTTTGGAACGTGTACAACATTACCACATGGTAAAGATACCGGTTGACGTATGGGGAGCCACACGTCGACTGGTTCACGTAATTCGGTCGACGTATAAGATTTTTACGTCGACTGGTTTGAGTCATTCACGTTTAAAAGCCCACTGTCAGGATACCGGTCGACGTATGGAAAGTTACACGTCGACTGGTTCATGCAACTCGGTCGACGTATGGCGTTTACGTCGACTGGTTTGGGTTATCCTCACCCACTATCCAAACACCTATGCCACTACACTCACATACATAAACTAAAATACATTTTAACATTTAATTGCAATAATAACCACCCCTTGATAACGTAATTTACAACACGTTATATGATATACGAATTAACATGATACGAATTTAATTACATTACCCAAATGGCCATATACATGATAAATCCAAATAATTCAAATATTGCAAAATAATACATTTTGTGTCATGCACTCTACAAGAATAGTTCAAGTCCCACAAAATACATTCAAAAATGCCTTTAAGTTCCCTTAGCTCTGTGGTGGATTATCATCCTCCAATTCCTTACCATGACCTAAAAAATATAATATATAGTGGGGTGAGCAAATTGCTCAGTAGGTGGCGCCTAAGACGCACCTCATGAGACCCCGTGAATCTAAAACAAAGAATAGACCAATAGGAGTTGGGGTCATACAACATAGGTGAGAATACAATATGGTTATCATTCTTAACACAAATAATAAGATGCAATGGAGATGCAATGCATGCCGATGTCGCTCACCCTTTTTACAATCAGAATCATCGCTTTCAAACTGTTAATGTAACCCCATTTGGTGACTCCGCAACGCTGAGAGAAGGATTGGCTACTGTCCCTGACCTCTGGTGACTCTGCAGCATCATTATAGGGCCTAGATAGCTCAACCACGCTAGGGCAATCTCCCTAGTTCCCTTAGGTTACATTAACCTACCGGCCCGTTGGTGACTCTGCAACGACCGGGTTTTATCAAAACACTTTCATCAATACATTCTTTCCCAAAACTCCCTATTTTCATTTCAAAAACAGTTTCTTCCCTTTATGCAACCCAATGGTGTATATGTATGTTTCATGATCTCAATACTATGAAAATGAGGAATTTGACACCACACAAGTAAGCATGTTCTCATACTTTTAATATTTAAACATACTTTTAATATTTAAACAATAATGAATTATCACAAAATACAATAGGGCATGCATTCATACACCATTTATAGCATGTGAACAATACAATAGGCATAAAACTCATCATATAAGCATGCTTCTCATATAGCACAATCAAGACATGTCTTCACATATTCACATATATACAACCAAGATAATTTAGGCTACAATTAATACAAATAAGCATGTTATAACACAATTCATGTAGATTAACTCACAAAGGTGCATGAATAATGTGAATTAGGAAACCCCTACCTCTTAAAATGTGAAAACCCTCAAAATGGGTCATGATTTTCAGGCTCTCTAGGCTGCACAAAGACTGAAATTGTTGGTACCCATGCGTAGAGCTCGTCGTGCTCTCCGTTTTGCAGTAAACAGCACTCCAAAATACCAAGTGTTGAAGAAGTTATCAAGCCTCAAAGATTGGAGCCAAAACAAAAGGAAAATGAAATGGAAATGGAAGGGAGGAAGAGAGCTACGGGAGAATGAGAGTTGAGAGACCAAAAATGTGGTCTCAAGACAAGGGATGGGTTAGTGGTGGGTCTCGCCACTATCTCATTTTCTTTTTGTTTTAATTTTTACACTACATACACACACAAGTGCACCATATGCAAATACTACTTAATCCACTTAATTTAAAATGTACACAATGCAAATGGACCCAACCACAATCTCGTACACATAACGTGAAAAGACGAAAATGCCCTTGGGGCGACAAAATTCCGGAAAAAAAAAAAAAAAAAATGGTGAAAATCGGAAACGTCACATTTACGCTCGCCATGTTGTAAATTTCTGAATTCATTTTTCTCAATTCTTAGTAATACATTAAGAATTGGTCGAACGCCAAACACATTATTTCAGTATTTTATTTTTGTTCATGTGTTAATTTCATAACTTCAACTAAACATATTATGGTTACAGGGGAAAGTACTAATTAAACATTTTTTGGTTAATAAGTTTCAATCAATGACATTATTCTTGTTTTTATTGCTGTTGATTTACTTGACCTTTAAACAGTTCAGCCATTAGCGAATGCCCACTAATGTACTACTAACTAATTCCTTCCCTCAAGACAATATAACCAACTGTTTATATTGTGGTCGCATCCAAATAATTTCTGATTAGTTTCTTGGCCAAACAAAGTTGCTGCAACAGAATTTACACCAGAAGACTAGAAAAGTTTTATAGATATTATTTGGATAAGCACATTAATTTGTTAACTTATTCAGGCCGAAATAATGATAATGTGACAGAACATTTAAACATATAGTGAATATCATTCTTCCTTACTCAAATGCTTTCTGATTAACTCTTGAGCAGTCTTTTCAAATCCTACCCTTTTTGAACCCATTAAAATTGAATAAGTCTTCACCATCCAAATATGTTATAGTTTTTCTGCTGTTTAGTTCTTGGTTCCTTTTGTCTTCGTAAAAAAATTTAAAAATTATTAATTAAATTTGTTATAGTTAACTATATATATCAGTAGTTGGTAGGAACCACATAGGTCAATAAGAAAGTTCCATTTGTGTCATAGTGACCAAAAAAGGTAGTTTTAATAAGATTGCCAGCACCATCAAAACAATGTATATGTATACAACTGAGAAACACAACATTCAAACAATGACCATTTCTATCTGCCGGCCCTTAATATTTAAGTTGTTTGCTTTGGGCATTTCAGTTAGTTTTTATTGGCACTCACAGCTGCTTTCCCACTAACTACAAACTTTCATTGTAAATTCAGCCAATTGGCAAATATAACAATTATATCATTTCATCAACAATTTCAACATTCTCACTTTCTCTTTGCTCTACAATGTCTATCATTCAAACCAACCTCATAAAAAGGAGAATCCAGTTCTAGGGACTTTTTAAACGAAGCTCGTCTTGTCCATTTGTCATGGATTTTGCGCCAAATTTGGTGGTTGTGTTTTTGTTCTCTCTCATATTTCCAATAGCAAATGCAGAAAAGGAAGAAGTGATACAGGCACTAGTCCGGTTCATGGGGGAACTTTCTCCTCCTGAGAATGTGCAAAGACGCGCGAATTGGGGTTGGAATGTGAGCTCAGACCCCTGCACTGCCAAATGGGAAGGCGTGGACTGTGGCACGCGTTTACAGTCCGTGAAAAAGATCGTTCTTGAAGGCTACAATTTCACTGGATTTCTTGATGCCGGTTCTCTCTGCGTCACAACATCCCTTGTTCACCTTAGTCTGATTGGCAACAATGTCAGTGGAGGGATACCAACAGATATGGCAAATTGCAAGCACTTTACTCACCTGTATCTAGGCGGGAATCGCTTCTCAGGAAGCCTTCCGGCCTCTCTCTCCCAGCTTAGCAATTTGAAAAGGCTTGACATATCCAACAATGACTTCTCTGGTGAGCTGCCTGATCTGCCTAGAATTTCAGGACTGCTAACCTTCCTTGCTCAAGATAATCAGCTCAGTGGAGAAATTCCGAAATTCGATTTCTCTAATCTCCAAACATTCAATGTCTCAAACAACAATTTCAGTGGTCCAGTTCCGGATGTCAATGGCCGTTTTGGTGCAACCAGTTTTTTGGGTAATCCTGGATTATGTGGACAACCATTGTCAAATACATGTCCAGTGGCTCCACAGCCTCCACAGGCTAAAGAATTGAAAGGTTCCTCCTCAAAGAACCGGTTCCTTATCTACACCGGCTATGTTATTATTGGCGTCATCATTGTGCTCCTCATTGCCATCAAATTGCTCAAGAAAAAGAAGCCAAGAGATAGAGAGGGTACTGGTGTTGTAAACAAAGGAGTAAAAGTAGATAATATTAGCACCAATACTACTAGTAGTACTTCCAGTGAGTTCAAGACCGGAAAGAGCAGGTCAGAGTACTCCATAACATCAGCTGAAAGCGGAATGGCCTCATCTTCACTCGTGGTTCTAACAAGTCCGGTGGTGAATGGGCTGAGATTCGAGGAACTGCTTCGAGCTCCAGCTGAACTACTTGGGAGAGGAAAGCACGGAAGCCTCTACAAGGTCATAATTAACAATGGAGCGAACCTTGTTGTGAAACGGATAAAGGATTGGAGAATTTCAGCTCAAGACTTCAAAAAGAGGATGCAGAGGATAGACCAAGTTAAGCATCCTAAAGTACTGCCAGTGGTGGCCTACTATTGCTCCAAGCAAGAGAAGCTTTTGGTTTATGAATTCCAGCAGAATGGCAGTCTCTTCAGCCGCCTCCACGGTAACCATTTTTTCCCCTCACTATTTTATCTTCTTTGGGTTAGAATTTGTAGAAAAGTAGAGAAAAGCTAGATAACAAAAATAATAAAGGAAAATAATGCACTAAAATTTATTCATACTTCATTGTTGATTTTCAGGATCCCAAAATGGCCAGTCATTTGACTGGGGAAGCAGACTAAATGTGGCTGCTGGTGTTGCTGAGGCTTTGACTTGCATGCACGAGGAGCTCCGCGAAGATGGGATTGCTCATGGTAACCTTAAATCCTCCAACATAATGCTGAACAAGGACATGGATCCATGTATCAGTGAGTATGGCCTAACGGTGGTTGAAAGTCAAGACAGATCATTCCTCGCTAATACTTCCAAGAACAGCGATCCAACTGGTGGCCGTGCATATAGCACCTTCAAGGTAGACATTTATGGCTTTGGAGTGATCCTTCTTGAGCTGCTGACTGGAAAGAATGTCCAGAACAGTGGGCTTGATTTGGCTAAATGGGTGCACTCCGTGGTTCGCGAAGAATGGACTGTTGAGGTCTTTGACAAGGTGCTTCTCTCGGAAGGTGCTAGTGAAGAGAGGATGGTGAACTTGTTGCAGGTGGCATTGAAGTGCATAAATCCTTCTCCAGCTGCTAGGCCAAGTATTAATCAAGCTGCTTTAATGATAAACACTATAAAGGATGAGGAAGAGAGATCCATATGCTCTGACCCTTGATACATAGCTCAAACGCATGCTTGTGAGAAACCTGTGGAAAATGTGAAAAGTATAAATTTATCATGGATTCATTTGTCTAGTCATTCATTTTCTGGATTAACACTTATTGTATGGTAAAATGTTATTCATTTTCTGGATTAACACTTATTTGAATGGTAAAATGGTATTTTTAAAGAACTGGAACATGAAGTAATTGTACTTGTGTGTGCATGTGTGTTGGGGGGTTGTGATTCATTCAACATTTCTATTCCAGGGCAATCCCATTATTAATCCACACTACCCACACAGTACTGCATGTTGTATACTTTCTTCATCGGAACTCAATTATTCAATGATAGGATAATTTATTGAAGCATGACTAGTCTTGATGTGTCAACTCCAATTAATGAATTGTAATTGTGTAACCACTGTCTTATTAATGTCAATTTCGTCAATGACCTGGGTTTAATTGTTAATAAATTATTCTTAAAACACTTACACTTTCATGCTCATGCCCAAATATCAATTAATCTACCATAATTTGTGAAAGACTTAAAAAATGAAAGCAAAAGCTTTCCACAATATGACATAATTTTGAGACATAGATATAGAAGGGTCAAACAAGATCATTTAATCTACCATGGTTTGGATTGGTCATCCTTTCACCATTGAGGTTTTTGGTTTATACAATCCTTTATTATGTGTTCAAAGAACAAACCCAGGTTTATGTTACCAGAAGCTTTTAACTTACGATATCTCTCCTCTTGTAAATATTTGTTTAAATTTCACCAAGTGAAAAGTACTGACTCCAAAAGTATCACTTCTCCACAATTAATCGATATTATCACCAAAGCTTGTGACCTGACGATATCTCATTTACATTTTGTTTATGAAAGGTAGATCGTTCATATCTCTCCAAGAGTATTGTGTCACACGACAATTAGCTCTTACAATACTCTTGGAGAGATATGAACGGTCTATATATATAAATATAAATTATTCATCCCTAGTTGGAACTGACATAAGTAAGTTGGTGAAGCATATGTTCACAAAATTGCAATTCTTTTAACATGATAGAATGGGATAAATTCAATAGATTATTTTTGCAACAATATATATATATATATATATATATATATATATATATATAAACTAAACATATATAAACTGAACAAAACAAGTCATATATATATATCGTATATATATATGATATACATATATGACTTGTTTTGTTCAGTTTTTTTGTTTTTAGAATAAATTAAAAATTAAAAATTATTTTTTGAAAACTCAATTGTCTATTTTAGCTAGAGAACAGTCTTTTATATTTCTATGAAAATAGTTTCTTATTTTTGCAGTTTTTGAGACAGACTTTGGTATATTCAAAATGTTTGAAGAGATATTGATGGTTTTTTCATGTATTCAAATTGATTAAAAATCCCTTGCCCTGACTAGTAAGTGCTACTAATTAGGGTTTGTTTGCCAAAAAAAAGAAGCAGCATACCTCCAGAAGTCTTAAACAAAAAACTGTTTGAAAATTTCTTTGGTTTACAGTTATTTTTTATTTTTATTTTTATTTTGAAAATGAAAATTTAAAACTTCATAATTTTAGATTTTTTTAGTTTTTACTAAAAACTATTTTAATTTTTGGATTTCTTGAAAATTCTTTTTAGAGAGCTAACAAACTGACTCTATATCTCTCATTTTCTCTAGCACAATATTTGAAGAAGAACCTTGAGCCTAGTGTCTTCCTTATATCCGTTAGAAATTAAGGATTTAATTATATTTAAATAGGAAAAAAATAGTAAAGCAGTGATAATAAACCAAAACAACTAGTATTAAATTATTAATTTCATGGATGATTCTGCTAATATCTAAAGTAGTCGGGGTATTCTTACACAAGTTATCATGAAACACTTGGTGTGCATGCTCATTGACTAAATCTAATTTGGCTTAATCACCACAATTTTTTTCTAGCTAGGAACTTTCCGGAGTAAGAATTAATTTACTCCACGCGTTAGTTCCAAACAAAATAGACCACAGTAATAGCCACTTTCTCGTGACATAATTGTACTGGCACAAAAATTCAAATATAGGAAGCAGAAATTTTCCACTAAAAATCAAAGTGGAAGAATAGTTGAAGAAAAGACTCTTGAAAATGAGAGTTGAAGACTAGATGCAAAGACTTTCTGTACAAGCACTTGCATTTATGTTACGCTTAATTGGTCTCTTGGCTACATAGTCATATCAGTCCTAAATTGATATTTCATGGCACTATTGAGTGTGCCACTTGCGTTGATCTTACGCTTGACTAAGGTCTCGAGTAATCCACATCCAAGGTTTCTTCTCACAAAGGACGGTTCCACTTGTAATCATCCAGGTGACCTAATTGGTCTCTTGGCTACAGAGTCATATCAGTCCTAAATTGATGTTTCATGGCACCATTAAGTGTGCCACTTGCGTTAATCTTACGCTTGACTAAGGTCCCGAGTAATCCACATCCAAGGTTTCTTTTTCTTTTTAGATTTATTGCATGGTCTTACCCGCATCCATATCTATGCGTCCTAGATAAGGTTCTTCTCTGAACCAATGTAAATTATACAGTGGGCCCTTATTCCGTGTAGCAATTTTGAATTTTTGTAGAAAAATGACGAATGAAATTTTGTTTACCATTACCAACCACTATAAATATCACATCATCCCTCTTTCTCATGCATAACACAAAAACCTGTTGTGGGCTGATCATGGACAGATCCATGAGACGAGTAAACATTCTTCTTCTTCTGTTTCTCACCCTAATCATAACTATTGATTTCATCTCCTGCACTGAAAACTCTCAAATGAGTTGTCTTGAAAGTGAGAGACAAGCTCTTTTGAGGTTCAAGCAGGATCTTATTGATCCGTCAAACCTGCTCTCATCTTGGGGTGGTGAATGGGACTGCTGTAAATGGACTGGAGTTGTCTGCGACAACTTAACTGGCAATGTCAAGGGGCTCCATCTTCGAAATCCACTCGCGGGTTGCACGACAGATGCCGAGTGTGAAGCTTATGTGAGGTCCAGGTTGGGCGGTAAGGTAAACCCTTCCTTGCTCAACTTGAAGCAACTGAGTCACTTCGACCTAAGCAACAACGATTTCGGGGGAGTTCCAATTCCAAGCTTCATTGGTTCCTTCAAGAGCTTAAGATATCTTAACCTCTCCTATGCAGGATTTGGGGGAGTAATCCCTCATCAACTCGGGAAACTCTCGAGTTTGAAATATCTTGATCTTGCTGGAGATTTCAAGGGTCTAATTCCACATCAACTGGGAAATCTTTCAAGTTTGCGCTATCTCAAACTTCGTGGTGGTTTTGTTGAGAATCTCCAATGGCTTTATGGTCATTCCTTGCTGCAGCACATTGATTTGAGTTATGTCAACCTTACCAGAGCATCTGATTGGCTTCAGGTGACAAATATGCTCCCTTCTTTGGTAGAGTTAAGCTTGTCTGCTTGCGGTCTTGATCACTTTCCTGCTCTACCTGTTGTTAATTTTACTTCTCTTGCAACTCTTGACCTTTCCTTCAACTACTTTCAATCTTCGATCCCTGATTGGTTGTTGATTGGTCTCAAAGGCCTTGATTCTCTCAATCTTCAGTTCTGTGGTTTGCATGGGCCGATTCCGAGTGGTCTTGGAAACATGACCCTTCTTAGAAATCTTGTTCTGTCCTACAATTTGTTCAATTCTACCATACCTGACTGGCTATATGATTTCAGCCATCTTGAATACCTTGACTTGTCATTCAGTGACTTGCAAGGTGTGATCTCTAGTGCAATAGGAAACCTTACTTCTCTCACTACCCTTGACTTCTCATTTAATAAGGTTGTGGGAAACTTGCCTAGATCCTTCGGAAATCTTTGCAACTTGAAAGAAATCATTTTGTCAGGTACCGAGATTGGTGGCAATGTATCAGAAGTTTTCAATATCTTCTCCAAATGCATTTTAGATGGACTAGAAACTCTTGATTTATCTAGAACTCAACTTTCTGGCCATTTTCATGATGCCACTCGTCAACTTGGGCAATCTAGAAATCTGGAAGCCCTCTTTCTTTCTAGTTGTTTTGTTTTCGGTCACATTCCAGTATCTTTGGGAGAATTGTTGACCTTGCAATATTTAGATATTTCTAATAATTCTCTTTCTGGTCACATTCCAATGTCTTTAGGAAGATCATCATCCTTGAAATATTTAGATCTTTCTGATAATAACTTGAGCGGACCTGTTCCTGAAACTCTTGGACAACTTGCAAACCTAGAAGTATTCTGGATGTCTCGAAATTCATTCCAAGGTTTTATATCTGAAGTTCACCTTGCCAACCTCACAAGACTAAGAGAATTTGGCGGAGCTAAAAATCATTTGGTCTTGCAAGTGAGTTCAATGTGGGTTCCTCAATTTCAACTTGACATGTTAGTATTAACGTCATGGCAATTGGGGCCACAATTTCCCCCATGGCTTCAATCACAAAAGAATTTGGCAATTCTAGATATATCCAACACTGGGATTTCAGGTGTCATTCCTAGTTGGTTTTGGAACTTATCTTCCAAGGTTTATTTTTTAAATCTCTCTCACAATCATTTCCACGGCGAGATTGTAGGCATGCCTCCAATTTTTTCGATTGCTACAGTAGTTGATCTAGGTTCTAACAACTTTAGAGGTACACTACCCTATATATCCTCTAGCGTCATTACACTGGATGTTTCTAACAATTCATTTTCAGGGTCTATTTCCCATTTCTTGTGTTACAAGATGGAGCAACCAAAGGAATTGGAACTTCTTAATCTCGAGGGGAATCTTTTATCGGGAGAAATTCCTGATTGTTGGATGAGCTGGTTTGGTCTTGAATTCTTGAGTTTAAGAAATAACAATCTAACTGGTGAAATTCCAAGCTCCATGGGATCTCTAAGTCACCTCAAATCGTTGCATTTGCGTAACAATAGTCTTTTTGGAAAACTACCTTTGTCATTACATAACTGTACAGAGTTAACAGTTATGGACTTTGGTGAGAATAAATTTTCAGGAAGCATACCAGCATGGATTGGAGAACGACTTGTAAATCTCAAGATACTCATCCTAAGGTCAAACAGGTTCCATAGCAACATTCCAAAAGAACTTTGTGCACTCTTTTCGCTTCAAATCTTGGATCTTGCAAATAACAATTTATGGGGAAGCATACCAAAATGTTTCAAGAATCTAAGTGCCATGGGGGTAAAGCTAGACTCAAGTGACCAGATGTTATATAGCTCTAATGGTACCCTTGGAGATTTTTTTAAAGGTTTTGTGGAGAATGCACTCGTGGTGATGAAAGGGAGAATGCTTGGTTATAGCACCATTCTTCAATTCGTAACGAGTATGGATCTTTCTGACAACAATTTATCAGGAGAGATTCCTAATGAATTGACACACCTTCTCGGGCTCCGATCGTTAAATTTGTCTCGTAATCTTTTGACAGGAAGGATTCCTGAAAATATAGGTTCTATGGGATTATTAGAGTCTATTGATTTCTCCGCCAACCATTTGAGTGGTGAAATCCCTCCAAGCATGACAAGTTTGACATTCTTAAGTCACTTGAACTTGTCCAATAACAATTTGACAGGAGAAATACCATTGAGCACTCAGCTCCAGAGTTTCAATGCATCTAGCTTTGTTGGCAATAGTCTCTGTGGACCTCCACTTGTTCAGGGTTGTGGTGTAAATGATGTGAAACCTACAGTTAGAAACGAAGGCGGCAATGAAGGCCATGGAGTTGAAGTGGATTGGTTTTATGTGAGCATGGCACTTGGTTTTGTTACGGGCTTTTGGGGCGTATTTGGTCCTATACTCTTCAAAAGGTCATGGAGATTTGTATGCTTTGAGTTGATGGATAGAATGTGGCATAAATTCTGTGGTATTATAGGCATGTGTACATAGATTTAGTCTTTTTAATTGAGTGGTGCTCATCATTCCCTTGTAGAACAAAGATGTATATTTTTTTTAATTTCTGTGGTAAGTAATTTTATTCTCTTCCAAAGTTGATTAGATTACTAATATTTAAATAGTATTTGCTTTCATCCTTCCATTGAGTAAACTGTTATTAAACAATTTAAAACTTGAAATGTAAAAACACCACTACAACAAAACAGTGGTATGGCAGCAAAATTTTAACAGCATTTAAAAAAAAAATGCTGCTACTGCTGTTGTAGAAACATGGGCCCATTTTTTATTTTTATTTTTCATTTCTTATTTGTCCACGGTTCTCGCTCCTCTCTCTACCCCCACTCCTAATAGCTGATCACTTTCTCTCTCTACCCCGCTCCTCTCTCTCTCTCTCTTACTTCTCATCTACTCTCTCTCTCACACACACACAAGTTAAACCTTGTGTATTGGGGATGGTGATGGTGTTGGATCCGTAGAAATGAATCAGAATTTGAAGGAATATTTGATCGGAGGGAGGTCGCAGCACCGGCGAGGTCTCAGCCTCAACGGAATCTCCGAGGATACGGATGAGAACTTGGATCTCTTCTCTAGGAATCGCCGGAGTCTCTCCGTTGCTTCGTCCGACGAATCAGACGGTACGATTCCTCTTCATATGCACCGCATTATCCTTATCTTTGAATCTCACTACTCCTTATTTACTTGTGGACTGTGATATTTCATTCAAAGCTGTATGATTTAGTTTAATGCACAGTTAATTTTGATCTGATTCTGTTCAATCAGCTAATTAATGCCTTCACAACTTGTTCATAATTTAATTCATACATGTTCAATTATTGGGATTTTATGAAGCCAGAGCTTTTTGATTTCAGTGTTAATTTACTTTTCATTACCTAATTCTCTCTGAGAAATTTCCCAAACACTGTCTTCACTCTTACCTTCTCTTTGAACCGTAATTTTAACAAAACCAAAAATGGTTTCTTATCTTTGAGATAGATAGAATCCCCTTTTTCATCATATTCAATTTAATTTAAATTATAATTGATTATATTTCTGAAGAAAAACACCATTATACATTACACTATCACATAAGAAAAATTATGTACGTAAATGTGCAAGACATGTCTATGTATCAATATTCAAGTTTTGGACACAATTCAAGATGAAATCTTATATCCAAAGACCTGGGTTTTAGGGAGGTCCAATTGTTAGATGCACACTGGCACCTGATACTCATAGCCGAGTCCATGTAACATGGGTTTCACACATACACCACCCCTGGACATTTCTGCTTTAGCCTAATGTTCAGGGTGTCTCATAGAGCATTGGTTTGATATGTGCCTTTATTTTCATTCTCCCATGCATCTTCAAAAATTGTTCAAACCTAGTGAGTTCCTTTTGCTCGATGTTAATCTCCACCAAATTGAGGTCAAGTTTGCACATTTTTTTAGTATGAAGTCACTTCTAATTAATGATTTTGGAGTTGAAGTTCAACTTAGGGTTATGATTATTAATCATATTAAAAGCAACAAAATTTTTAATCCAACTTGCTAAAATACAAGATAAAAAAAGAAATTCATTTTGCTGCCATGTTAGAAACTTGACATCTCAGCCTAAAGTAGGAAGGAAAGAAAAATAATAATAATTAAAAAAAATAAATAAATTTAACATTTCTGTACAGCATTCATTGCAGTGTGATGAAACTTGAATTAAAATTGTATTATAGATTGTTATGTGTTTCTGATTGTACCCATTAATGTTTCTAGGCTTCTCACTCCTCCTGAAATCCCACTTTTTCCTTCATCGGATGGAAATGAATCTAAAGTCTAAACCAGCCCCAGATGCTCCAAGAAGGTCTTCCACGGTTAGACCAGACTCTACAGCTAAGACTTCAAGGGTATGTTTTCTATGTTTTTTTGTTTTAGTTGTTGAAATTATCAACCAATTAAATACATAAAGTGACCGTCTGTCTCACCTACATTTTATTTAGATAAGTTTTTGAATTTTAGGTGTTCAGAACTCACTTGAAATTTTACCCCATTTTATTTAGAACTTATTTTTTAAGCGAGATCTAGATTACCTTATCAAACGCACTTAATTGGATAATCACTTAATTTAAATTTGGTGAATTGGTGCCTCTCATGATTATAATTTTTATAAAGTTGAATGTAGCGAATTATGAAGAAAATTGAAAATGGTCTAATGATTCCATCAAATGTTTATGACTTTATGTTCTACTGATCTGGTCTATCATGCCTTATAATTGTATCCATTGTTTACATTCTTGTGATCTGGGCTGTCAAAATTTTAATGCCTAATAATGAAAGAGTTGGTTCTGAATCATGTTTGTAAAAAACCTAGAGTGATTGCTTCCTTTTCAGGGATCTTCTTTTAAGGAGCTTGTTAAAATAGTTATAAAGTATCTTGGGTTGCAGATCTCTAATATGATATTTCCTGGGAAATCGTCAACCCAGTCCATGCTAGTCCTAAGTTTTCCAGCGTAAGAAGCACCCTAAGTTAATCGAACTCTCTGGCACATCAGAATCTAAATTTTTCAGTGTAAGAAGCACCCTAAGTTTCATTTTATTCATCTATTGTTCTGCACTACATTTTTTTTTGGCTCTCTTATCATGTTTTATTGTCAAATTTGATCTGCAGGTCTCTACATCCATGAAGGACCTGCGTCATGATGTTTTTGGGATATCAAAGGAAAACAAAGATCCAAGAGCTGTGAAAGGGAACAAAGGTATGACTTGCTTTGGTTTTCTTTAAGTTTACAACCTTCATATGCATATTCGAGTGCTCATTCATGTGATTTAGTAATGATTATTACCTCTTTATAGTGTTTTTGGAAACTTATACCTCATTTTCATCAATTCCTTCTGAAACTTGGCACTTGTACACAGAATTGCTAGATGCATTGCCTGAGAAAATAACATTTGAGGATGGTGGTTATTTGTCTGATGATGCAAAAGAGGTACTTCACAAGCACAACGTCTTTAATCTTGATTCTTATTATTTATTTGCTATCTCAAATCGTTTTAATTGGAGCATTGCTGAAAAAATCAGGTTGATTCTGAGCAATTTGAAAAGATCCTGAAGTGTATAAGATCTGGGATCGATAGTGGAGCTACCCTTGAGACTGGAGGTGAGAGATTTGGTACCAAGGGCTACCATATCGCGCCCTCGGTTTTCTCTATTGTTCAGGTATATCTCCTTACTCCATAAATAGTTAGTAAGATTACCTTTCCACTGTGGAGGTCAATGTATCATCAAAACTAACATAATTGTAACTTAAATCAGGACAATATGTTTATTTCAAAGGAGGAGATCTTTGGTCCCGTGCAATCTATCTTAAAATACAACTGAGTCGATGAAAAATCCTCTGTATTGCCTAATATTGGAGTGTTTGTGTTTCTTCACCTTCACCATTTTATTTGCTGGTGGATTGCAGGGATCTTAATGATGTGATATGAAGGGCAAATGCCTCTTGTTATGGGCTGGCTGCAGGGGTATTTACTCAGAACCTCAGCACCGCCAACACCTTGATGTGTCCATTGAGAGTTGGGGACAGTGTGGATTAACAGCTTCGATACTTTTGATGATGCAATCCCTTTCAGTGGTTACAAGATGAGCGAACATGGCAAGGGAATCTACAGTCTGAGTAACTACTTGCAAGTAAAGGCTGTTGTTACTCCCTTGGAAAATCCTGCATGGTTATAACTTCTCACATTTCGATTCAGATTTCGTTTGGAAATAAAGAGCAGGCAGCAACAGAATCTTAGGTCAGACTTGCTTGATGTTGATGATGACACGTATCTGTTACTTTTGTGATCTGATTGTTTCCTTCTTCTATTATTCTATTTGGGACTTATTTGATGCATTATTGTTGCTTGTATTAATTTGAATACTAGTTATTGGTTTCTAATACGTTATGTGTTTTATTTCAGGTTGCTCATAGAGAAGGATGATACTTGGAGGATATATATGGAGTCTCTGCTTTTTTTTCTTTTCTTTCCTCACTAATAAATGCATTGTAGTTCCAGTTTTTTTTTTTTTGGTTCTCCCTTACTTTGTTGTGAATTGAGTTTATTTTATCAATAAATTTGGTTTATGTATGGATTGACCTTGATTATAAGAATTTGAATTTCCTTAAATTTACTTCATTTAAATATATTGTAATTGAGTTTATTTGATCAATAAAATTGGTTTATGAATGGATTGACCTTGATTATAAGAATTTGAATTTCCTTAAATTTGCTTCATTTAAATATATTGTTATATCATTTTTTTTTAAAAAAGAGTGTCATTTTTGGCAGCATTTATATTTGCTGTCATATGTTTTTCATATATGGCAGCAGATACAATTACTGCCATCCCTATTGCGACACAAATTGTGACAGCAAATACAAACGTTGCCTATAAATGCTGCCAAGTAGTTATGGCAGCATTTTTTAAACTTCTAACAACAAATAAAATTGTTGTTAAAGACCATAATTGTTGTAGTGCACTATCCAATAAAGGCAATTAGCTTATGTACACAATTGCAAGGAATAAATAATATCAACAAAAGTTGCTTTCAACAAAAAATAAAAATAAATAAAAATGGATATATATATATATATATATATATATATATATATATCCATTTTTATTTATTTTTATTTTTTGTTGAAAGCAACTTTTGTTGATAAATATATATATATATATATATATAATTGGAAATAGTTTAAAATTGAAGTAAAAGAAAAAGAAGTTACCAGGATATTTACCATTCAAGTCTTCCCAAACAATGGCTTCACAATGCAACCCTCACTTGGTAAGGTATTGGAGAAAGGGAACAGTCAAGCCTGCAACAATGTTGATGATTAGTACCTGGTGGAAGATTTAATGGTGAACCAACAAGACATGCCAAAAAAGAGAGCTAGGTGTCACGGGCTTAGAGTTTCAGCACCACTCTAGCTGCTCCCGTGCGGTACCAAGACGTTGCTTTCACTCTCGCAAGTACTTGGTCAGCCTAACTCCCGTGCACACCTTAACCAACACACTCCCCTCGTGCGCTTACTAGTGTTGTAGTTGCCCTTGCCCTCTCCTCACTTGGCTTGCACACTCACACACACTAAGGCACTTAAGTTGGCAAGGAAAGAACACTTCTATTACTTCAAAGAATGCTTTGTACAAGGCTAACACTCAAGCTCTCTACAAGGCTCTCAAGACTCACTCTAGGACTTGTTGGTTACAAAATGAAGTCCTACTCCTATTTATAGGCATTCCCATCCCTAATGGATGGCTAGGATGCATTCTAACCAATGGTGGAGATTGATTCTCTAGAATCTTCTTCCACCTTCTACACATCTCCATACATATCTACAACATTCTAGAACCCTCCATACTACTCCACACAATTCTGGAGAATTCTAGAACCTTCCACACACTTCTAGAATATACTACACATATCTAGAATCTTCCACACAACTCTAGACTACTCCGGAAGACTCTAGAAACTCCACTTGCCATGCAGTTGCCATGCAGCGTCCTCCTTAGCGTCTGCATGTCACCTGCGTGGTACAACCTCCATAGGCGGGGCGTGACATTCTCCCCCACCCATTTCCGTGACGCCCTCGTCACGGTTTCTTCAACTGACCTAGCCTCTCGCAGGTCATCAGCACTTGCGCATATGTCCTTGGCCCAAACGTACGAGCGCCCTTCGGGAGATGTGAAGTCCTCACGAGCTCCATCGTGTTGACTGCCACCTCTGGACTCTCCTTCCTACCCACGAGCGGCACCATGCATGCGGCCTTGCCTTCCTCGCCTCCAAGTATCATCAACGCACCAAGGCATGGTAGTGGCGCGGCGTTGTTCCTGTCCATGAACTCCAGTCCCAGCACCATGTCGTGGTCGTCCATCTCCGCAACTTGGAAGTCAGCCTTGCCCTTCCATCCTTGCATGCATAGCTCCACCTCCTTGCACACTCTACTCACGCGTGCCTCCTCGGAGTTGACGGCCTTGATCCAGCCCTCCGTCTTGCGCATCTCCAAGCCAAGTCGTTGCGCCTCCTCCGGGGTAATGAAGTTGTGTGTAGCACCCGTGTCTACCAACGCTTGCACGGCTTTGCCACCAACCTGCGCATCCACATAGCGCACCCCAGCTACCTTCTTTGCCTTGCCCTTCTTCTTGGTGTCATGCGCCATGCTACTCAGCATCTGCATAGCCCCCATGCACCTATCTTCATCGCTGCCCGCATCGTCCACCCTGCCCTTGCCCTTATCCTTCACAAGGGCGCTTATGGTCTTCTTGTTGGGGCAGTGTCGCAATATGTGCGGCCCTTCGCACAAGTAGCACTTCGGCTCCCACTTGCCCTTATCGCGGCGCTCCCATTTGCCACTAGCCTTGGACCTCTCTCCATGGTCCTTGCCCTTATCATGGCGTGGGCGTCTCTCCTCATCGCTGTGCTCATCATCACTAGACTTGGGCGAGCCCCGTTTCTTGAAGCGCCGGTCTCCCCCACCTTTGCCGTGGTCCCTCCTGGGAGACGTGGCCCTCTTGTCATCGCGCCTAAAGTCTTCGAGGCGCTCCGCTATAGCCATTGCGGATGCCAAGTCTCTAGGCTCCCTCCTCCTTAGCTCCGTGGCCACCCAAGACTGCAGCCCATCTATGAACAAGCACACGCGTTGCCGCTCCGGCATCTCTGGGATCTCCAGCATCAAATTGGAGTACTCCTTCACATACTCCCTTATGCTGCCCTTCTGCTTCAGGCGCCTTAGGTTGATCATGGCGAGGTCCTCAACGCACTCGGGATAGAACTGCCTCTTGAGCTGCCTCTTAAACTCCTCCCATGTGTCAACTGCTCTTGCGCCTCTACCGGTGAAGCGCTGCCTCCACCATAGAGCGGCAGTGTCCGTGAGGTACATAGTGCCTGTCTGCACCTTCTCCTCATCATCCTCGATCTCCATGCACTCGAAGTACCGCTCCATGTGCCAGAAGAAGTTGTCAATCTGGCGCGCATTCCTTGCCCCATCGTACTCCTTGGGCTCCGGCGCCTTCTTCTTCCTTGGCTTCACCACGACCTCGCGAGCCTGGGAGAACTCCTTCTTGCACTCGGCAATCTCCACGCGCAAGTCGTCTACCTGATCATACAAGTCCCTTTCCTTCTCTCGCACCTTGTTGGCAATGCCGTCAATCAGCTCGTAGAGTTCTGCCATCTTTCTCTCGAGCCTGTTAAACTTGGTCTCCGTGTAGACCAAGTGTGTGGCAAGCTTCTCTTCCAAGCTCTGCTCCAAGACGTGGACTTGGTGGTCTCCTCCGCTAGCCATGTCTACTCCAACAAAGCTCCCTTGACGAACCTGGCTCTGATACCAACTGTCACGGGCTTAGAGTTTCAGCACCACTCTAGCTGCTCCCGTGCGGTACCAAGACGTTGCTTTCACTCTCGCAAGTACTTGGTCAGCCTAACTCCCGTGCACACCTTAGCCAACACACTCCCCTCGTGCGCTTACTAGTGTTGTAGTTGCCCTTGCCCTCTCCTCACTTGGCTTGCACACTCACACACACTAAGGCACTTAAGTTGGCAAGGAAAGAACACTTCTATTACTTCAAAGAATGCTTTGTACAAGGCTAACACTCAAGCTCTCTACAAGGCTCTCAAGACTCACTCTAGCACTTGTTGGTTACAAAATGAAGTCCTACTCCTATTTATAGGCATTCCCATCCCTAATGGATGGCTAGGATGCATTCTAACCAATGGTGGAGATTGATTCTCTAGAATCTTCTTCCACCTTCTACACATCTCCATACATATCTACAACATTCTAGAACCCTCCATACTACTCCACACAATTCTGGAGAATTCTAGAACCTTCCACACACTTCTAGAATATACTACACATATCTAGAATCTTCCACACAACTCTAGACTACTCCGGAAGACTCTAGAAACTCCACTTGCCATGCAGTTGCCATGCAGCGTCCTCCTTAGCGTCTGCATGTCACCTGCGTGGTACAACCTCCATAGGCGGGGCGTGACATAGGGCATGCCTCATGTCTGCATCTAACCCATGATGACAAAAGAAACAACTGAAGAAGCAACAACCAAAAAAAATAAAGAGCAGACAACAGCAGGATTGCATAACAAGAATAATCAACAATCAGAATCACCTTTTTTTTTTATTATATATTTTTGGCTTTCTAGCTTTTTCAAAAGAAAAATAATTTAATTTTTATCTGAAGCTGAAGGTGTTGTTTCTGTTCAAATAAGATTAATATTTGAATTTTATAAGCCAATGAGATTAGTCTTATCCAATTGACTTTTTACTATATCGAAGTATAAAAATTCCCAAAGTAAAGTGATGTTCAACATAATGTTACCGATTTTTCATATTTTTTTTCTTCTCGAATTTATTTGATTTTTCTGGATTATTTGTAACGACCCTAGCTGATGCCAAGAATTTTACAAAAAATTCGGCATAATCTCCCTTAAAAATAGGCCTACCATACCCTGTTTAAATTCATTTTTAACCTATCATGGCTCAAATTCCAAATTCACGGCAACAGTATATGATCATACACAATCAAATAACACCGATAATTACTTTAACTAAAATTATCCTTCTCATTCATCAACAAGGTTACATGACAAAGTTTTGCAAAATATACATATATACCTTTATACTTTTAGTGCTTTGCAAAAATAATGGGAAATATACAAAAGACACAAAAGTGAGCTTCTAGTATCGCTCAAGCTTGAGGTGGGTTGTCGTCCACCGATTCTTTTCCAAGACCTGAAAAAAATGTATAAATAGTAGGGTGAGCTATATGCTCAGTAGGTGATACTTAAGACACAAATCTTGTGTCCTTGTGAATTCAAGCAAAGCATAGGCCAATGGGAGATAGGGATCATACAACGTAGGGGATCAAATACAACATACAAGTTAATTCCAAGTATAAACAATGCAATGCAATGAAATGACATGCAATGCATGTCAATGACACTCCCCATTTTCATTCTCAAAATCATCACTTTCAAACATTAATACAACCCGCCCTTTGGTAACCCCGCCGCGACACGAAAGGAGGATTGGCTAGTGTCCCTGACCCTTGGTAACCCCGCGGCGTCATTATGGGGCCCAGCTAGCTCAACCACGCTAGGACGACTCCTTAGTCCCCTCTAGGCTATATTAACCTCCGGCTCGTTGGTAACCCCGCAGCGACCGGGTTTCGCATAAAACCATTTTATCAAAAACACTTCCTTGAAATTCCCCATATTTATTTCAAGAACAATTTCTCCCATTTCATGCAAACCCAATGGTATGTGCATGTATATATGTTCCATACATTCAATGTCATGGCATTTAAAATTTTCCATCATAAAATTAAACATTCAACATGTTCAACATCTCCCAAGTAATTATTAACACATTAAGATACAACAAAATACATTTAAGCATGTGCATGTATATATATATATGAGCTCAACATCATGAATTGGGAAATTTGGCGCAATTTAAATAAGCATACTCTCATACATCAATTTCAGCATGCTAGCACATAGTAAACATAGGAAATCAACAACTAAATATAATTTGCACATGAACCAACCATATTCAAGATCGTGAAAACCCTCTAGACATCATTAATACCATCATAGATATAATTAACTCTAAATTAAGCATATTTAATACAACATGGAGGTAAAATTCACAATAGAACAAGACTAGAGTAGATTAAGATGTCCCTACCTCAAAATAGGCAAAACCCTAGAAATGGGTTTAAATTTTTAAGCTCCAAGGAAGGTAGCAAAACTGGAATTGCTGGTACTAGAACGTAGAGCTCGTCACACTCGTCGTTTTGCCTCAAACGGCACCTAAATCCGGCAAGTAATGAAGATGGAATCAAAAAAGAAAAAAAAAAAAAAGGAGTTTCTGGACGAGAGAGATAACCTTACGGGAATGAGAAAAAAAAAAATGAAAGCAAAGATGGTCTCATGACTATTTAAATGCTTGTGGGTCCCACTCATTAACTTTTCTTTTCTCTTTTTCTTTTTCATTTAAATTATACCACATACACTAATATATACAGCCATCACATTATTTTAATCGTTGCCCCGTTTTGCGTGCCACACTGGTCTCAAGGGCCGTTTTAGTTAATTCCTTGAGCTGAGGGTTTTGGAAATTTATTTTTTATTTATCATTTTAAGTCAATTTGAAGTGACGGTATCATTTTTAGAATTTTTTGAAAGTCGGGATGATTTCCGGACCCGGAAACTTCTCCTAGTTTTTTCATTTTAAGTGAAGGGCATTGTAGTCATTTCATATGCATATACATACATGTGTAGCTTTATATTAGAAAGATATTCTATGGGATATGGGAGGCATTGTGAGGGAAGAGCAAGGACAAAGTGGTAACTTGACCAAATATTGTATCCATTCATGTGTTGACAAGTGGCTCAATGAGAGCCATTTATGAGTTGGCAAGACAAGCCAACCCATCCATTCCTCTTTATTCTCGGCAACCCCAATTCTTTTTCCATCTTTCTCCTTTTCTCTCTCTATATTTCTACATTTAAACACATATATACCTTCATAGATTAAATCTTGATTTTAGAAGGGTTCGAGTTAGATTTTGAGGGAGAGGAAGAAGGGATGTTGGAGAACTTGGTATGAGCTTCAAATTGAGGCCAATATTGCTAGGGTTTGGGGAATTCCAAAAATTGCTTTAGCCTTAGGGCTATCACTTTGAGGTAGGGGTTTCTAACTGCAAGTCCTTGAATTTTTGTGAATTAATCTCCTAATTGTGATCTATTATGTTTATTTTATAATTGCTAAGCATGATCTCCATGTGTTATGTAGTGAATTGTGTTGAATGTTATGATTATGTAAGTTATTGTGAAGATAGATGTTCAATGTATGTTGTACCATGACTTTTTTGAGTAAAATACTATGTTTGTTAAGTGATAACATTTTTCTTACTTGTAGTGTTGAATTCTTTTCTAAGCTTGTTATATTATTAAGGTTCATAAGCATGGAATTTCATGACATCGAATTGCATATATATATATATATATATATATATATATATATATATATATATATATTAGCTTGGGGTGAAGAAAGGGAAAATTGTTTTGGAAAAGAAATGGAAGTGTTTCGGAAATGAAGGAAAACTGTTTTGGGAAAAGGCTTGGAAATGGGGAGTGACATTTCATCTCTTGAATTTGCATAGCATTACACTCATTGTGTATGGATTGTATGTAAAGATCTGTGATGGTATATTTATTCCCCAAAATGAATATGACCCATCTTCTATGTGTCATTCTTTGTTTGGATTTACGGGATCATTAAGGGGTGCGTTTTAGGCACTACCTACTAAGCTTTATGCTCACCCTATAATATTAACATTTTTCAGGAAATAGAGCTTGCCTTGGAGTTTCTAACGGGTGTTTGATGACTTCTATTGAAGCTTTGGGACATTATATGTGTAGCATTTTTACTTGTACTTAATACATGTAAATCAATGTATATTTGTCCATGTAAGATTCATGGTATAAATTGTAATTGATGTAAAATGAGGCCATGAAGCCATTTTGAATCAAATTGAAAATTGCTCATCCCTTTTCTTTACAAGCATTATTGGGATTTTTCATGTTCAAGCCTTATATCAGGTTTATAAGATGTCTTGGGATGAGTTTAAAGCTTAATTTTTGGCCGTGGTAGATTCCAATGAGGTCCCTAAGGTCCTATGCACTTGCAGTGACCAAATTTTAGACCTCCTAAGTGGAGAGCCGGCTTTCCCCCTTTAGGAGTTGACTCTTTTTAGTCCAGTAGCCTCATTTCGTCAAAAATTTGGAGTGGAGCCTGCTCCTTTAGAATGGAGCATGCTCTTTTGAGGTGGAGCATGCTCCTTTGGTGTGAGGGGAGCCTGCTCCTTTTGAGTGGAGCCGGCTCCCTTGTTGCTTGTCTCTTTTTTGAGTCAAATTTCAAGTATTTTCAGTTAGCTTTCCAATGAAATTAATTTCACTCAATAATTCAAATTGTAGAGAGAGTTATGATCTTTTTAGTGTGGACTGCTCCAGAATTCCTTGTAAACAGAGGGTGTAATTATGTGAAATCTTCATTCTTAGGTCCAGGACTTTGCGTCATGGGTTCAAATGACCCTTATGACTTATGTTAAGCTATTTAGAGTTATATAATTAATTTACGCACCCTAATTGACCGTTTTGCCCTTGGTTGTTTTCGGGTTCGGGTAAGAACTCGACTAACGATTCAGACCAATGGGTTCGGGTTGTTACACTCAAGATCCCTGGATTGTTCCATTTAAATTGAATCTGGATTCTCTCACACGTGCACGATCACAAGCGTGAATGATGTGACTATTGAATCCAAACCGAGTCTAAATCCTCTCACACGTGCACGATCACAAGTGTGAGTAGTGTCCGATTGTTCTTATCACTCACACGTGCACAATTACAAGTGTGAGATGTGGACAGTCACATACAATACAAGCGCACTGTTGTGATGTGCCTGATCCACTAACATCCATATCTTTGCTATTCGTTGTATCAAGAGATGGAACTTTGTTTAGCAAGTAAAAAGTAAAACTTTGTTTCATAATGTGTCTCTCCCCAAGACTATTGCGATAAGCATGATATATACTCTCCTAATTGAGAGAGTCCAAACTATTTTAGACTCTTCAAATTCACTAATTTTTAATTTTTTTTTTTTTTTTTTATGCAAGAAAATCTTTCATTAGATTATTTTAAATATGAATACAACCCATATAAGCTTTCTCTTCTATGAAAGTTGGGAAAACATAAAAAAAAAAAAACTTACAATTTCTCTTATCTGCATAGCATATTGGGCAAGACTATGAGCCAAAATATTTGCTTGCCTCTTCACCCAACCAATCTTCCATCGATAATGTAGTTTTATATAAGCCAGAATATTTCCCTAAAACTGGGACAATCCTATAGACACAGCTCCAAATAAAGTGATTCAATTTCAAATTTACTAATTCAGCTTATAATGTTTTATGGTAAAATTTTGAAGTTTGAATAAAATAACAATTTATTCCAACACATAACATATATAATCATTATATATATATAATATTATAAGTGGCTTCTGAGTTGCACCATTTTGTAATAAAAAAATAGAAAAAATACCTCATGAAGATTCAATAATTTAACGTGAAAAAAATTTGCACCATTAGTCTATTTCGTGAACATTACATACAATACCCTTTATTACCCCAACATTACATGCTATACCCTTTATTACAACCAACAAGTAACGTCTTTAAAAAATGTAAACCAACCTACAAAGCTAACCTCCCCTCATGTTTCACAATCTTCATTTATACACAAACAAACACTTCTAAATATTTCCAAAAAAATTATATCATAAACCAAAAAAATAAAAAAATTAATAGAAAATTAAATAGATGACATCTCCTGAATCATGATGAACATTGAACGGTGATTGGGCGGAATTCTTGATGCGGCTGACATATCTAATTTACTTTTTGTTTATGAAAGGTGGACCATTCATATCTCTTCAAGAATATTGTAAGAATTATTTGTCATGTTCAAATATATATTTATATATAAATTATTCATCCATAGTTGGAACTGACATAATTAAGTTGGTGAAACATATGTACACAGAATTGCAATTCTTTTAACATGATAGAATGGGATTGATAAATTCAATAGATGATTTTTGCAACAAAATATATATATACATAGAACTTGTTTTGTTCAGTTTTTTTTTTTTTTTTTTTTTGGTTTGTTTTTAAAAGACAATACAAATTGAAAATTTAATTGTCTATTTTAGAGAACAGTCTTTTATATTTTTATAAAAAAATTTCTTATTTTTTCACTTTTTGAGACAGACTTTGCCACTTTGGTATATTCAGAATGTTTGAAGAGATATTGATGGGTTCTTCATGTATTCAAATTGATAAAAAAAATCCCTCGCCCTTACTTGAAAGTGCTACTAAAATCATTATGAAGTGCTACTAATTAGGGTTTGTTTGCCAAAAAAAGAAGAAGAAAGAAGCATACTTCCGGAAGTTTTAAACAAAACCGTAGGCCAAAAATTATAAAAGTAGAACCCCCACCTACGCTAAAATATGCGTCCTGAAAGGTGCATTGTACTGTTGGAACTGTAGGAATAATCTAAGGAAGCAGAAAAACAGAAAATTGTTTGAAAATTTCTTTGGTTTACAGTTTTATTTTATTATTATTTTTTTCTTTTTGAAAATGAAAATTTAAAACTACATAATTTTAGATTCTTTTTAGTTTTTACTAAAAACTATTTTAATTTTTGGATTTCTTGAAAATTCTTTTTAGAGAACTAACAAACTGACTCTATATATCTCTCATTTTTTCTAGCACGATATTTGAAGAAAACCTTGAGCCTACTGTCTTCCTTATATCCGTTAGAAATTAAGGATTTAATAATATTGAAATAGGAAAAAAATAGTAAAGCAGTGATAATAAACCAAAACAAGTAGTATTAAATTATTAATTTGATGGATGATTCTGCTAATATCTAAAGTAGTCGGGGTATTCTTATACAAGTTATCATGAAACAGGGCCTGTTTAAAACTCTCACTTCTTAATTTTCACCTTCTCTGAAAGTAAAATCATACTTTCTTGAGATAGAAATAAAAAATAAAATGATGTTTAATAATTTATTCTGCTTTTAATATTTTAAAAGTAAAAACTGAGTTTAATAATTTTAATTTTAATTTTGTTTTCTTGTTATCTTTCTCTCTCTTAAAATAAAAAAATAAATAATAAATAAAAAATCTGTGTTTGATTAGGCGGTGCTTTGGGTGGGCAGAGGCGGATCAAATGGAAGGTGTGGGAGAGAGCTCGATCTGATATTGGGGTCATGGCCTCGCTGTCGTCGAAATCGTTGATTTTTGTCACCGGAATTGTGAATCCTTCGTCATCGGAATATAATCCGATTCGCCGATGATTGATGGCAGTGGTGGGTTTTGAAGTCAGTGGAATTGTGATGATTGATGGAAGTGGTGGGATTGATGGAAGTGGTGGGATTGATGGGTTTTGATGCGTATGAGAGATGAGAGAGATGATTGTGGCAGTGGTGGGTTTGGAAGTCAATACAAAAGTTCTATCTTTCCACGAACCTGATGCCGCAACATTGCCTTGGACCGAATCAAAAAGTTCCTGATGGTTGATTTGGGTATGTCAGGAAAAACGTGTATGAGAGAGTAGAGAGATGGTTGATTTGGGTATGTTATTGATGGGGTTTGATGTGTATGAGAGAGGAGAGAAAGACCCAATTGATGAACCTCAGTCACAGCTCCGACAATGAAAAACATGAAAACTCCAATCAATAATCCATTGAACATCAAATTGATTTGGGTATAAAAGAGGATCTGCTTTTTTTTTTTTTTTTTTCCTGTGACTGGTTCAAGTTGATTTGGGTATGAGGGAGGAGAGAGATTGTTGTGGCAGTGGCCAAGGTGGGAGGAGGCGGCGTGGCGGCATCAGCAGAGTGTTGCAGGACGGCGGCGGCTGGGAAAAGGCCGGCTTCAATACTCTAGGTGTTACTTCCAAACAAAATAGACCGCAGTAATAGCCACTTTCCAATGACATGATTGGAATTAATTTACTCCCTGTGTTAGTTCCAAACAAAATAGATTACAATAATAGCCACTTTATCGTGACATATATGGAATAAGTAGAAATTTTCCACGGGATTATATACTTTTGGCATTAAAAGTCAAAAGTGAAATACAGAAAGACTCTTGAAAATGAAAGTGGAAGATTAGATGCAAAGACTTTTTGTACAAGCAGTTTGCGTTGATCTTACGCTTCACTAAAGTCTTGACTACTAATTGGTCTCTTGATTACACAGTCGCAGTCCTAAATTGATGTTTCATGGAACGAGGACTGCTAGCCCGCCACTGCCGCTGAACACTCGCACCACGTGGCTTTGTGTGATTGGTTTTTACAGTTGTATTCTATTTTTGTTTTACTTAACAAAAAGGTCCTGGTGGATCAATACATAGTGGACACGAACTTCACAAAAATTACAAAAAAGCCACCCAATATACATACCACCACCACCTGACCACCTCCCTTGCCGTGACAGTCCAGTACCACTATCCCTCTTTCTCTGACACCCAAATAGACTAATTGTTATAGTGAATTTTCATAATAAAACTTCATCAAACCATTCAAGAAGACGAAAAATCATGTATTGGAACAAAATTGACAAAGATAGGCAAAACTTAAAAGGCATTTCGCTGATCAAATTATTTTACAAATCAAATTTAACCTAATTTTCGAGTGTATATATATATATATATATATAAACACATTCAATTTCTCAGAAGGGAGAACCTAGGCAAGCTTGGGTCCACACTGTTTAAGAAAAAATAGACAAAAAAAACACATCGAATTTCCCATTTTTTGTTGGTTAAAGCTTCTACAGTGAATTGAAAGGCATCATCATTGAGCAGATCAGCACCCGGATCCATCTCAACCACGACCATTGTTGAGCTTCTATCGATAACGAATCAGCGCACACAGACGTCACAAGCATCCATCACCGTTTAACTCGCGATTACGCGTTGGCAGTCATCATCCTCTTATCATCACTCCCCCGGCGAGCGAATCTCCGGCCGCTTAAGGATAGAAAATCATCAAGAAAGCAAAACCAACGCCAACGTCCTCTCCTGCACTTCATCGACGCCAATTGCACCAGCTATGCATGCCCATAGAACTGATTCGGCATCGGTGAGGTCCTTAACACAGGACCCATCCTTGTCACCGAACATTTCTCACACAATCTTCTCTGGTCGTTTCTCTTCCGCAGGAAAGAGAAGGGAGAGATGAGATGGTTGCACGAGAGATACCCACGGCATAAATTATACAAGGGTAAATTATACTCAAACCTCAAACCTCAAACCTCTAAGGTTAGGTCATTTATTACCTAAATGAAAATTTTAATTTTAAATAATTTTGTATTTCATTTACATTCCAAATGCCAATTAAATAATTTTATATTTTATTTATATTCTAAATGTCAAGTTGTAGTGGTGTCAGAGTACTTTTAAATATAAAATGATTATGTCACCCTTTGACTTCTTATTAACTATTTTTTTTTACCAAACTACCCCCAACCACAATCACCACCGCCCTGTCTCTCTGTTTTTCTACATGGCCTTCTCTCTCCTCTCTTCTTCTTCCTCAACTCCACCCATGCATCAATCCTGCTCATCCCTCACCCAAATCCCACCTCACCAATCTCCGATGGCCCTCGTTCCCATTTGAATCACTTAACCGCTCTCTCATTTACACAAAGTTTACATTAATTTTTGGGATTCTTCTCACTTTCCCAAATATTAAAAGGTGGAAGAGAGAGAGTCACCGACATTGTTTCACCGGAGACTCGTAGGAAATGATGACGTACGGCACAATCCCGACTTCATTGACGTCAGAAGGTTCAAGTTCGACTACCTCTCCCGCTCAAAAGAATGTGAGATCTAGCTTCAACACGCGACGGCTATGGAAAGTTTTCAGTGTTCAACTTCCGATCAGTGAACCATTCGACGGCTTCCGCGACGCAATCGAACGGATCAGAACGAACGTCGGTTACTTCTGCATGAACTACGCCATCGTCGTCCTCCTGATCCTCTTCCTTAGACTTGTTTGGGGACGAAGAAGCCCCCGGAGCTGGTGAATTTTGACAAGAACCAGTGTCCCATCTTCTTCTTACTCTTAGTTTATTGAAGCATTCATTTATCTGCGAGGTTTTGGCCTTTTATAATTGTACCTCTCTGTTAATGTGTGATACTGTGTGCTTGATCTCTAGAGGATATGGTTGAATCACAGTGGATGAACATGGGAGGGCTAATTCCAACAATATAAGCACGTACAATTTGTGGGGATCGGCAGCATTTTCAGATCATTTTTTTCCCCCTCAGAATTTCAGGCTGTGTGTTTGTTTCTTAAGAAAATACCCTTCTTTTTGTTATTTTTCACAGCACAAACACCTCCGACAGAGGTTTTAGCATCTGGGTCTTTGGTTTTGTGAAGTTTGGGACCCAGAGTTTTTGAAGTTTTGTGGGTTGTGTGAAGAGAATTTTTTTTTTTGGGTTTGTTCGGGGATTTAGTTTATTGAATTGTGTTCACGAAATTTAAATTTTTTTATTTATTTAAAGAAAGTTTCTTTTATTGTGTTGTACCATTATTAGAATTGCATGTTTACTCTGTAGATGAGAAAATTGAAGACATAAACCAAGCACGCAAGCCACATACAAACGGATGAAATGGACGCACAGAATAACCAGTCGTAGTTAACAGTGCTTGAATATATATATTTATATATATATATGTAGGTTTTTTTGTCATTTAATATTATAGATATTTTGTATTAAAAAATTAAGGATAAAATGATCAATTCGCATGTATCAGAGGCCAAAATGTAAATTGAGATCTAAGTGAAAGTTAAAACCAAAATACCTAAAAAATAGCCTAATCTTAAGAGATCTGAATGTAATTTACCCATTATACAATTATAGTGAATTGAAAGAGTGATAGATGAGAGAGAGACCGACAAAAGGCCGAAAAGGGCGGTTGTTTTGAGAGTGGCAGTTTTGTGATTTGTTTAAAAATTGATGTCTATTATGTATTCGAATGTGGAGCAACCTTTTTAACGTGAAAGTGATAGTTACAGGTACAATTGTTTTAACCAATTAGAGAGTGCCACATAGCGAGTGTTCTGCAACTGCCCCTCAGTCCTCTGGCACTATTGAGCGTGCCACTTTCTACCACCGTTTAGGGTCTGTTTGGTTGCAGTGTGATGTAATGTAGTGTTCTAGTCTAGAACGAAACAAGTATTGTGTGGTGTAGTGTTATGAAAGGAGAACAAAACATGTTAGGCGACGAAAATTTGCTCTGAGAATTTTGGAATAGAAATTATTATAATTTTTTTTAATGATTAAAATAAATTAATTACTTCACTTGATTAGTTTGCAAAACAAGACTTACAGAGCTTGATTAGTTGATTTTAGAAAAAAAATTAAAACAAAAACCATACACTACACAGAATTGCAGTTGCAGAGACAGAGAGAGACTAGGGCAATTGGGAGACTGAAATGATTTGCCCTAAAAATGGATTTGCAGAGTTGAGAACGAGAGGCGTTTGGGAGGCTGAAATGATTTGCCCTAAAAAAAAGGGGGAAGTCCAGCGTTGATCATTAATTAGTCACAGAAACCCTAGAGTTGGCTTCATCTTCATAAATTTTTCGTATTAGAGAACAAAAATGGCAACCGTCTCCTCTGTCTTTCCTTGCTCCTTCCCCCACCAATCACAACCATCTTGTCCTAGGTCGAAAAGCCAAATGCGACGATTTCTTCTCTCTCACCGAAACCACCATCTACCTCCTCCAACCGCCCAATCAACAAAACCCCAAACCAAACACTCCAATTTCCATTCCCTGGTTGGTTAGGGTTGAAGAGATCGAAAATGGCAAAAACCGTGCCTTACATCCCGTCCCTCAAAGGAAAATGCACAAAAAGGTTTCCGAAACAACTCAATTTGCTACGTTTGGCGTTGGGTACCAAAAGTTTGCAGTTGCAGAGAGAGATTGAAAGAGAGACTAGGGCAAGTTCAGAGTTGAGAATCCAGATCCGGCCACGGGCTGTGAGGATCCAGTGGAGACGACTGGTTCTGCGCCGGCGAAGAGGGAGAGAGAGAATAGAGATGGAGGCGTTTAGGAGGCTGAATGATTTGCCCTAAAAAAAAAATTAAAACAAAACCCTACAGGTTTGTAGTTGGAGAGAGAGAGAGAGAGAGAGACTGGCAAGTTCAGAGTTGAGACGAGAATAGAGATGGAGGCGGAACACTTGTAACAAGTTTTTTTTGTTCCAACACTTGGCCCAAACAGTGCAAAGTGTTCTGATACTGTTCAAACCAGCACAACCTATGCCAAACATGTTTTGTTCCTCAATAGTGCTCAATAGTGCTACTGTAGCACTGTTGGGAACAAAACAGCACAGCACGGAACATCCACCAAACAGGTCCTTAGTGACTCTTTGTGCAGATAAAGAATATCCGACAGTGCAGATATGTGTCCGTTACTTTTCACCCGGATTACAAACTAATTTTTTGTATATATATATAATTATATATTTTTTATTATAACTTTTTTTTTTTGGATTGTTAAGCAAATGTATTTATGTAAACATAATTACAAAAAAGACCAGCTTGTGCTGGAACAAAAGGCAGTGGCCCAAAAGAAATAACAAGGTCAATGACCAAATCACATTCATATCTATGCTTCCTAGACGATAATAAGTAAAAGAAGAATCATGGAAATTTCAGGTCCTGGCCCAAATGGATAAGATTATCAATGTAAATTATACGGCCCCTAATCCGTGTAGCAATTTTGAATTTTTGTAGAAAAATGACAAATGAAATTTTGTTTACCATTACCAACCACTATAAATATCACATAATCCCTTATTTCTCATGCATAACACAAAAACCTGTTGTCGGCTGATCATGGACAGATCCATGAGACGAGTTAACATTCTTCTTCTTCTTTCGTTTCTCACCCTGATCATAACTATTGATATCATCTCCTGCACTGGAAACTCTCAAATGAGTTGTCTTGAAAGTGAGAGACAAGCTCTTTTGAGGTTCAAGCAGGATCTTATTGATCCATTAAACTTGCTCTCATCTTGGGGTGGTGAAGGGGACTGCTGTAAATGGACTGGAGTTGTCTGCGACAACTTAACTGGCAATGTCAAGGGGCTCCATCTTCGAAATCCCTCGCGGGTTGCACAATTGTTGCCAGTGTGAAGCTTATGTGAGGTCCAGGTTGGGTGGTAAGGCACAACCTTCCTTGCTCAACTTGAAGCAACTGAGTCACTTGGACCTAAGCAACAACGATTTCGGGGGAGTTCCAATTCCAAGCTTCATTGGTTCTTTCAAGAGCTTAAGATATCTTAACCTCTCCTATGCAGGATTTGGGGGAGTAATCCCTCATCAACTCGGGAACCTCTCGAGTTTGCAATATCTTGATCTTATTGGATATTTCGAGGGACTAATTCCTCATCAACTGGGAAATCTTTCAAGTTTGCGCTATCTCAAACTTCGTGGTGGTTTTGTTGAGAATCTCCAATGGCTTTACGGTCATTCCTTGCTGCAGCACATTGATTTGAGTTATGTCAACCTTACCAGAGCATCTGACTGGCTTCAGGTGACAAATATGCTCCCTTCTTTGGTAGAGTTAAGCTTGTCTGCTTGCAGTCTTGATCACTTTCCTGCTCTACCTGCTGTTAATTTTACTTCTCTTGCAACTCTTGATCTTTCCTTCAACTACTTTCAATCTTTTTCGATCCCTGATTGGTTGTTGATTGGTCTCAAAGGCCTTGATTCTCTTAATCTTCAGTTCTGTGGTTTGCATGGGCCGATTTCGAGTGGTGTTCGAAACATGACCTTTCTCAGAAATCTTATTCTATCCTATAATTTGTTCAATTCTACCATACCTGACTGGCTATATGGTTTCAGCCATCTTGAATACCTTAACTTGTCATTCAATGACTTGCAAGGTGTGATCTCTAGTGCAATAGGAAACCTTACTTCTCTCACTACCTTGACTTCTCATTTAATAAGGTTGTGGGAAACTTGCCTAGATCCTTCGAAAATCTTTGCAACTTGAAAGAAATCATTTTGTCAGGTACCGGGATTGGTGGCAATGTATCAGAAATTTTCAATATTTTCTCCATTTTAGATGGACTAGAAACTCTTGATTTATCTAGAACTCAACTTTCTGGCCATTTTCCTGATGCCACTCGTCAACTCAGGCAATCTAAAAATCTGGAAGCCCTCTTTCTTTCTAGTTGTTTTGTTTTCGATCATATTCCATTAGCTTTGGGAGAATTATTGACCTTGCAATATTTAGATATTTCTAATAATTCTCTTTCTGGTCACATTCCAATGTCTTTAGGAAGATCATCATCCTTGAAATATTTATATCTTTCTGGTAATAACTTGAGCGGACCCGTTCCTGAAACTCTTGGACAACTTGCAAACCTAGAAGTATTCTCCATGTGTGAAAATTCATTACAAGGTGTTATATCTGAAGTTCACTTTGCCAACCTCACAAGACTAAGAGAATTCATTGGAGGTACAAATCATTTGATCTTGCAAGTGAGTTCAACGTGGGTTCCTCTATTTCAACTTGACGTGTTAGTATTAAGGTCATGGCAATTGGGGCCACAATTTCCCCGATGGCTTCAATCACAAAAGAATTTAGGAATTCTAGATATATCCAACACTGGAATTTCAGGTGTCATTCCTAGTTGGTTTTGGAAGTTATCAGTTCATTTTTTAAATCTCTCTCACAATCATTTCCATGGCGAGATTGTAGGCATGCCTCCAATTTTTTCGATTGCTACAGTAGTTGATCTAAGTTCTAACAACTTTAGGGGTACATTACCCTATATATCCTCAAGTGTCATTACACTGGATGTTTCTAACAATTCATTTTCAGGGTTTATTTCCCATTTCTTATGTTACAAGATGGAGCAACCAAAGGATTTGGAACTTCTTAATCTCGAGGGGAATCTTTTATCAGGAGAAATTCCCGATTGTTGGATGAGCTGGTTTGGTCTTGAATTCTTGAGTTTAAGAAATAACAATCTAACTGGTGAAATTCCAAGCTCCATGGGATCAATCTAAATCACTTCAAATCGTTGCATTTGCGTAACAATAGTCTTTTTGGAAAACTACCTTTATCATTACATAACTGTACAGAGTTAACAGTTATGGACTTTGGTGAGAATAAATTTTCAGGAAGCATACCAGCATGGATTGGAGAACGACTTGTGAATCTCAAGATTCTCATCCTGCGTTCCAACAAGTTCCACAGCAACATTCCAAAAGAACTTTGTGCACTCTTTTCGCTTCAAATCTTGGATCTTGCAAATAACAATTTATGGGGAAGCATACCAAAATGTTTAATGAATATAAGTGCCATGGGCATGAAGCTAGACTAAGGTGACCAGATGTTATATAGCTCTAATGGTACCCCTGGATTTATTTTTAAAGGTTTTGTGGAGAATGCACTCGTGGTGATGTAAGGGAAAATGCTTGGTTATAGTACCACTCTTCAACTTGTTACGAGCTTAGATCTTTCTGACAACAATTTATCAGGAGCGATTCCTAACGAATTGACACACCTTCTCGGGCTCCAATCATTAAATTTGTCTCATAATCTTTTGACAGGAAGGATTCCTGAGAATGTAGGTTCTATGAGATTATTAGAGTCTATTAATTTCTCTGCAAACCATCTGAGTGGTGAAATCCCTCCAAGCATGACAAGTTTGACATTCTTAAGTCACTTGAACTTGTCCAATAACAATTTAATAGGAGAAATACCATTGAGCACTCAGCTCCAGAGTTTCAATGCATCTAGCTTTGTTGGCAAATAGTCTCTGTGGACCACCACTTGTTCAGAATTGTGGTGTAAGTGATGTGAAACACACAGTTAGAAACGAAGGTGGCAATGAAGGCCATGGACTTGAAGTGGATTGGTTTTATGTGAGCACGGCACTTGGTTTTGTTATGGGCTTTTGGGGTGTATTTGGTGCTATACTGTTCAAAAGGTCATGGAGATTTGTATGCTTTGAGTTGATGGATAGAATGTGGCATAAATTCTGTGGTATATAGGCATGTGTACCCAGATGTTGTCTTTTTAATTGAGTGGTGATCATCACTCACTCGTACAATAAAGATGTAATTTTTTTATTTTTTATTTTTTTGTGGTATGTAACTAAGTTGTAATTTTATTCTCTTCCAAAGTGATTAGATTACTAATATTTAAATAATATTTTCAACTTTAAATGTAAACTCTTATTAACAACAATAACAACTTTAAATGTAAAAACATTATCCAATAAAAGCTATTAGCTTATGTACACAATTGCATGGGAAAAATATTACCAACAAAAATAATATATATATATATATATATACACACACACATACAGAATTGTTTACTTATTTTCTAGTGCGCAAAAAAATGTATACACACTTCAAATATTAACGGTTAGATTTCATTAGACAATTAAAAAGGTAGTTTATTCTTTTATATCTAACGATTAAGATTTAATTCGTACATAAATTCCTTGCACACGAGTGAACCAATAAACAATACTCTCTATATATATATAATTCGAAATGGTTTAAAATTGAAATCAAGAAAAAGAAAGTTGTAAGGATATATATTTACCATTCAAGTCTTCCCAAACAATGGCTTCACAGTGCAACCCTCACTTGGTAAGGTATTGGAGACGGGACAGTCAGGCCTGCAACAATGTTGATGATTAGTACCTGTTGGAAGATTTAATGTTGAACCAACAAGACATGCCAAAAAAGAGAACTAGGGCATGCCTCATGTCTGCATCTAACCCATGAGAAACAACTGAAGAAGCAAAAATGATAATAATAATAATAAAAGAGCAGACAACAGCAGGAGGAATGCATAACAAGAATAACCAATTTGTTAAAAATAAAAATAATAAAAAATAACCAACAATCAGAATCACCTCTTTTTTTTTTTTTCTTTTTCTTTTTCTTTTTTTGTGCTTTCTAGCTTTTGCCAAAATAATAATAATAATAATAATAATAATAATAATAATAAATAACCAACAATCAGAATCACCTCTTTTTTTTTTTTTTTTTTTTTTTTTTTTTGTGCTTTCTAGCTTTTGCAAAAAAAAAAAAAAAAAAAAAAGGGAAGAAGAAGAAGAAGAGAAGAATTCAATCTTTATCTGAAGCCGAAGAAGGTGGTGTTTCTGTTAATATTTTGAATTGTATAAGCCAGTGAGTTTAGTCTTATCCAATTGACTTTTTACTATATATCGAAGTATAAAAAATTCCCAAACTAAAGTGATGTTGAAGATCCCTGGATTGTTTCATTTAAATTGAATCTAGATCCTCTCAAACGTGCACCATCACAAGCATGAATGATGTGACTGTATTGAACTCAAATCGAATCTGGATCCTCTCACATATGTGCACAATCACAAGTGTGAGTGGTGTCCGACTGTTATTGAATTAAAATATATATATATATATATATATATATATATAATTTTTTTAAATCTAAAGGCAAGAGAAAAAAAAATAGTTATAAAATAATATGTTAAATAAATAATGTAAAAAAATATACTTGACAAATATAAGGATCAAAATATTGATTGATAATATTTTAATTAAATGCAATTACAAATGTCATCCGTCACTCTGGCACTGAGACACGACCAAGACTCCTGTGGAGGAAACAGTGGGGAATTTTTCGCAGTGGGCGAAAGCCTGAAGGAGTAGTGCCATGTGGAGGTAGAAGGCCCATGTAACGCCCCAAACGGATATCAAAATAATAAAATAAAAAAAATAAAATTTCGATATGACCTCCGTAAAAAAAGTCCCTTTACGACTTGTTGAAATACAAAAAAAATAAATGCAATGGCCTCACTGGACCTTAAATCTAACATATCCTGTCACAACTCACAATACCGATATTATATTACATTCCCAAAATGGCTACATACATACAGAAGTCCCGTTCCTCCATCTCATCCAAACAAGTGATACACTTTAGTTACATCAATTTACAGTCCAAAATGTAGTAAGAAGTTTAAAGTCCATAACTTATAACATTATACTAATTAAACTAAAGTTTTACAAGGTAGTTAACATTACATTTACAAAATACTAGAGTCTAATACAAAAGATAACAAAATAGAATGGGTCTTCAAGTTCGTCTAAACCTGTGGTGGACCGTCGTCCGCCACTTCTTTTCCATATCCTAAAAATTGTTAAAAATAATGGGGTGAGCATAAACTCAGTAGGAAGTGTCTAAGACACACTTCTTATATCCCCGTGAATCTATACAATGAATAGATAAAAAGTGAACAGGATCATGCTATAGGGAAACGCACATTCTCAAATACAATAATAAGTATGTAACAAATATCAACCAATCACAAGTTTACCACAATGTCATGAAGTGCAATGTCATGCAAATGTCACTCCCCATCTTCCGAAACATTTCCGTTTCAACTTCCAAAACCGTTAGTATAATCTGACCCAAGGCACCTCCAAGGCGTCACAAATGAAGGTTTGACTAACTATCCACGACCACAAGGCACTTCCAAGGCGTCGCATCCGGCCTAGTTAGCTCAAGCATGCTCCATTCTAGACTACACTAACATCACGAACTACTAGGCGTCTCCTAAGCGTCCGGTTTTCGCAAACTCCTTTAAAAAAATATATACTTTTTTTTTTTTTCCCAAGAACAAATTCATTTATTTTAAAACATTTTCCCCCCTATTTCTTCCCAATGGATGCATAAATGCTTCATACTTCATTTCATCAATTCAACCATAAAATTTCCACATACATTTTTCAATAAATTAATAAGTTACTAAAAATGGACAACTCATATTCTCATTTCTCATTTTACTAATAATTTAAATATACAATTCACAAATTCATTTCCATACTCATAACATAAATTGTCATAGCAATTGAAAAATTATGAAAAACAAACCAACACTAAACATACTTTTTTACAAGTTAAAAATCACAATACTAATAAGCCCAATTAGCACATAACATATATTTATTACCATCAATATAAATAACCCTAATAAACATAATCACAAAAAAATTAAAAATAAACATGCTTAAGTCAAATTAAGGGGAAAAATTCACAAGAAATGCAAGAATTAGTGGATTAGAGCACCCCTACCTCAAATTGATGAAAACTTCCAATTTGAGCCCAAGAATCCTATAATTTTGAACTCCCTAGAGTGCACCAAAACTGAAATTGTTGGTACTCACAAGTAGATCTCGCTGTGCTCTTCGATTTGCTGCAAATGGCACTCAAAAATTCCAAGTATGGAAGGAGAAATCAAAGCTTGAAATTGAAAAAGAAAAAAGAAAAGAAAAGGAAAAGAAACTACTGGAATTCTAACGAGAGAGAGAGATATGCAGAGAGAGAAAAAAACAGTCGAATCAAAGGCCTTTAGGCCCGGTGTCTAAAGTATTGGTGGGGTCCACTAGCTTTATATATATATATCACGGGTTGTAATGTTTGTGATATGTATATATATATATATATATATATATATATATATATATATATATATATACATATCACAAACATTACAGCCCACGGGTTGTGAACTTCTTTTCCTGGAGAAGAGGCAATTACGGAATCTGTAGAATAAGCATCGGCTAACTCTGTGCAAGCAGTAGCGGTAATACAGAGGATCCAATAAATAAATAAATAAATAAAAGAGGAAAAAAATGATACAATATATAATTATACATAAGTGAAAAAAGAAACAAAAATTAGAAAAGAAAAAATATATGGTCTACTTTTTTTAACTTTTTTTTTTATGAAAAAAAAAATAGAGGAATTTAAAAATTTTAGGAGGTATTATTTAAAATTACTATATAAGTATATATATAACAAAAATATATAGTTATATATAATAAATTGGAGCAAGGACACGGGGTACCTGCCCCCTTTGTCCTTAATTGGCTCCGCCAGCACACATGTCCACAATTACAAATGTGAGTGACGTGGACAGTCACATACAATACAAGCACAATGCTGTGCTGCGCCTGATCCACTAACATCCGTATCTCCGCTGCTCGCTGCATCAAGACATGGAACTTTGTTTAGCAAGTAAAAAAGTAAAACTTTGTTTAGGAATGAGTCTTTTTCCAAGACCATTACTCTGTTTAGTAATTAAAGAGTAGAACTTTGTTTCATATTGCGTCTCTCCCCCATAGACTATTGTTATAAGCATGATAGACTCTCCTGATTGAGAGAGTCCAAACTACTGTATTTTAGACTCTTCAAATTCACTAATTCAGCTTATAATGTTTTATGGTACAATTTTGAAGTTGCTTAAACAAAAGAACAAAATAAAGATTTATGCCAACATATAGACGTATACAATCATTATATATATATATATATATATATATATTATAAGTTGCTTGTGAGTGGCACCATTTTGTAATAAAAAAAAATACCTCATGAAGATTCAATAATTTAACATGAAAAAAATTTGCACCATTAGTCTATTTCATGAAAATTACATACAATACCCTTTTATTTTATTACACAACCAACAAGTAACATCTTTAAAAAAATGTAAACCAACCTACAAAGCTAACCCTAACCAACCTACAAAGCTAACGCCCTCATGTTTCACAATCTTTATTTATGCACAAACAACCACTTCTAAATATTTCCAAAAAAAAATTATATCAAAAACCAAAAATAAATAAATAATAATAATAAAAAATAAAATAGATGACATCTCCTAAATCATGATGAATATTGAACGGTGATAGTGCGAATCCACACGTGGTCGGTCAACCTCCACCTCATAAAGCACATTCCTCAATCGAGTCAAACCTCAACATCCCAAAACCGCCACCAGTTCGCCACCAGTTCGCACACCGGCGAAAATTAGCGGCTCCGCTTCACGAAAACGCCGGCGCTTCCTTGCCGAGGTCCATAGACGACTTGGCCGACATCGGAACCGAAGCGAACCGTGACGAGAAATTGCGGAACCCGTACACCTCCTCATCCACGGAATTGCCGTTCTGCCCCGGTCCTTCGTCGAAATTAAGCGAGTAACTCAGAGGATCGTACTGGAATTTCGCGTTCCTACTTCCGCCGCTTTTACTCCGATTGAACCGCCGTATGAAGGTCTTCCACTTGGGTCCGGCGACGATCTCCGACCACTGTCGAATCTTCTTCACGGCGCTGATCCCCCGGGTCCACCACCCCTTCTCGTCGTCCGCCGTCCGTACCTTCTGCCACCAGTTCAATCCGACGGTTCGCGATCGATCGGAACCGAAGCACGGTATGCAGAAACAGCAACGTCTCTTCACAGAGAGCATCTCAACCATTTCTTCGTTCAATTCAACATCTCTGCGAGAGAAATCACCTTCTTCAGTAGCCATCTCTGTATAGAGAAGACAGAGTTGGAAATGATGTTTTAGGCAACCGAAGAGATGTTCCTAATCACCTCTCTCTTTCTCTCTCGCACAGTACACCGACGGAGGATGAGAGAGAGAGAGAGAGAGAGCGAGCGTCGTATATAGTAGTAGTTCTAATGAAAGGGCTCAACGGAAACAGGAGAAGCGGTAATAAGTGACCGGGAAATGCCGGTGGCAAGATGTTTTTAGTTAAGGAAGTGATGACTGGCAGTCTGTCAATATGGGTCCTAGTAGTGTAATTTTAGTTAAGGGTAGTAGTGTAATTTTAGTGTTTAGAGCCGTTTGTTTGGTAACGATGATCTGGTTGTGTGCAAGCAAGGAAATAGGGTGACTGGGATTAGATAGGTTCTTAGGTGTCATCAACTTGGGATTTGGTGGGGTCTACTTTGATATTGAATACGTATTTATGATTGGAGAATCCTATGATGGATGAAAAAAAAATTAATAATAATAAAAAAGGACAATGCTTTTTCCTGCCCATGTCTCCCATATTAATGTATTCCGATAAGAGATTCAAACTTTTTTCAAATTTTAAAAAAAATACAAAATATGGGTTATATTTATTTTTTATAGTTAAACTCAACAAATCTATTTTTTTTGCATTACTTAACTTTAAATGTTATTTTTAATTAACTCATAAAAAATTATATTTTCTATATATATTTTTTTTGTTATTTTTAATTTTCTTAAGATAGAAAATTATCCTTAAAAAAATTGAACCAACCATTTCTATTTCTCTCTTTTTATGCATGTTATATATAAAAGTTATTCATTTTTTTACTTAATTCTACTGTTTCTGTCTTATTTTTATTTCTTACGTACCTTTCTTCCATAAATAAGAATGAAAACAAAATGAACAAAACAAAAACCATTATTTTTGTTTTTGAAAGCCAAAAAAAAACTCAAATTTTGAACAAAACCTCTTACTGGATTTAAGCTATTTGAAAGAGAGAAAAGTTACGCGCCGAACAAATATAATGTTTTAACATACCTGTTTTAAGAAAATGAATCAATCATTGTTAAGATAAAATCGAAATCGAAATCCAATCGGAAGCGGAGTGGAGGAGGACACAATGGGAATATTAGGTTTGGAATGATTGGCAGCTAAGGAAAAATAAAGATGCAAATAAAAGATACACATATAGGAGTAAAGAGAGGAAAAAAAATTGATCTATCAAGTTTAACCTTAAAAAATGGGTATAACCCCATGTTTTGAATTTTTTTAAGTTTAAAAGATATATCAACCTCTTATTGGGACACGTTAGTATGCAGAACACAATCTGTCTTAATGGACATGACTCAAGTATTTTCCTAAAAAAATCCTATGATGAAAATGCTGTCCTCGACTTTATTTTCTGTTTTACTCAAAAATCAGGATATGCATCCACAAAAGAAACATCTTTTTCATTTTTTAATTTGATTTTGATAGGAGCTCAAAAATAAAATAAAAAGCAGATAGATTCCTTGTAAATTTAAGAGACATGAAAAAAAAAAAACTTTTTAAACTAATCTATTAACTTATTGTTGACTCGAATCCTCTCGTGGATCATTTTATTGCTATCCAGAACACCCTAAATTATTATTGATAGAAACAACCATGCAACTCTCATATATTATAATATAATATATACATCAAAGTTGCAAATTTCATAAAATCTACCATATGCCAACACTTCACTTCAATGCATTTACCTAATTATAGCAACGGTTAAACTAATCGTGTGATTACATTACTCGATTTAAATGTATTGAATGACACTATATCTAAAATTACACAAGGATGCTCCTCACTCTGGAGCAATACACTTTCTAGAAGTATTTTTTTTAAAAAATAATAATCTTAAACGAAAAATGTTTTCACTAAAATTGAATTGTCTTAATATCGATTCCATTATACCTTTTTGTCATATCAAACTGATTCTAATTTTCTGAAATACTTGGGCCTTTTTTAACTAGGTCTAAAATGAAATGGATTCATATGAATATGATCAATTCAGGACCATTGCCATTCGAATTTGTTGCCTATCTTTTTTTTATGGTTTCTGTGCATTTTAGGAATAAATATTGAATGTGCATCCATCCAGTATGTACACGCGCCAGTAGCATACGGACGACTCGGATGCGCCAATACACACCCAATACTTACTCATGTTCTAGGAAGCTTTGCTTTTCTGTGTACAAGGAGCGGCCTGAGAAGAACTGCTCTCCTTGATCAAATTCTAGGAGCAATATAGAGCTAACGACGAAAGCGGGTCAGTGATGGATATCCGAATTGGAATTTGACTCCGATCTTATGGGCGCAATCCAAATTTGAGCTATATAATTTAAATAAAATCCATGCAGTGTATACTTTTGAACTTGATCCGAGTCAATTTTTGGAAATATTTCAATCTTTTTAAGTAATAGTAACTAATACCTCGATCCATATACACCCCAAATCCATCATTGAGTTGGCTGCCATGGATCGTAACTAAAATTTTGCTATCAATGAAAATTTGGCCGCTTGCTTTGAAAAATAAATGAATAAATTGTCCTAGTCTTTTAAATCCATCTCTCAAAATACAATTTAAAATCCAAAACTGTTAATATTGTTTAGTCGCATTGTTTCCTCTTCTGTTACTCCCTCACATTTCAAGATGTTGAGACGAATAAAAGTAATTTATGCATACAATATAGTAGTATTAAAGCCTATTAACATATTTCCTGTGCCACCAAACAATATGCTTTCATTTGTCTCTCCCTCTCCTTCATGGTTTAAATATGCATAATTGAGTCTGAAATAAATAGTGCCGTCTCGTATTCTTAATTAAACTGGGGTCAAGTGCAGACCTCTATAATATACTTACAATGTATATCACTCTTTAGTTGACTAAATTACCCTTAGTTAACAATTTTATAAAATATATAAAAATAAATAATTGTGTAAAATGATCGAAAATGACATTATTGGAAGACACCGTCAATGAACAAATAAAGATAAAAATAGAAAATAAAGCATAAAAATGAAAATAAAATGCAAACGAAAAAAAAAACAAATTTGCTCCAAAAACCAATGCACACTGATATTGAGATTTTTTCCCCAATTTTTTTTTTTTAGCAATGTTGGTACGAAGAATATATATATATATATATATATATATAGTAGAAAACATAAATCTCAAAAAATTCAAATCCTTGTTATGCAAATTCTCAAAGTTTTTTTTAAAAAAATAATAATAATAAAAATAAAAATAAAAATGTTTAGAGATATATATATAGAGAAAAAAGTTTCAAAAAAAAAAAAAAAAAGTTTAAAGGATATATAAAGAGAGAAAAGTTTCAAAAAAATAAAATATAAAGTAATGTGCTCATAACACCCCTATACAATGAAACTAGTAGTAGCATATACATTTTCAAAAGAGTAAAAAGACAAAATGGATATTACATCACTAATTTATGTTGGAATTCTAATCGAGGGGTATTTTTGAATAATGTAAAAAAATTAGGGGTGTTTTTTGCACACTTTTCAAAGGGAATAAAAGTGCTAGTATTTCCTGTACCTGTCCCAATGAAATTGATTGCCTTCACCATATAAAGAAATATGCACAGAAATCACCACCGATCATTTTCTCATTTGCCAGAAATCACCAATTATTGTCGGATGATTTTGGAGACTAGAAACACTACGGATTCATTTGGATTCAAATGTGACAAATTGGAGGCATGGACACTTACACAGACCGGTACATAAAATTCTAAAAAAAATTGGACATAAACATGGGGCTTTGCCCGTGCACTAATTAATACAAAGGAGGACAATAATAGGGGGGAAATCTAGAAAGGCCCCCCTAAAATCCTCTCAAGCATGCATCCAGATGCAACTATATTTTATTGATGCAATGCAATGTACGTACATCAATTTAGAACATCTTATCAATACAATTCAGATTTTATCAGCAGAAAGCATTCTAATGTACGCTGTGAAGGTTTAGAGAACCAAAAACAGTTTTTCTAATTTACGCTGTCAACGTCACTAAATACAACATTGTGGAGTTGCATTTTAGGTGTAAATTTGCAAAGGAAAATGACCAGATTGAAATGGTGGACACTTAGTAATTGAAATCGTGCAAAAAAAAAAATGATGCCAGATTAATTCTGTAGTTCCATCTTGTTACCGGGATCTATGTTATCACAGATCTTAATTTTAGGTAACTTCAACATTGAGGTTCCTCCAATTTCCCATCAGTCACGTTCAATATATACAGAAAACCCCAATCGAAGCGACCTTAGCATCTATGCAAATAAATAAATAAATAACCGACCTCAGCCCACGATATCACTGACCTTAACAGCAGGGAAAACGTGTCTGAGAATCTCGAGGAGTAGTATAACTGCCCGGAGCTTCCTTCCCATTTGATGTCCCCCCTTTCGCCGACGGCTAACAGCTTTGATGGGCCTAGCGGTGGTGAAGCAAGTGGTGCCCAGCCTCGTGGGCTTTCTAAGCCAGGGATGCCAGATAATATGTTGGCGCTGGAGAAAACTCAGGACTCCATTGTTGTTGGAGAGAGAAAACTAGGGAGAGTACGAAATGTGATGTCCATGAAAGAGGGAAAGGGGTCAATTGATTCAATTAGGTAGAAGGGTACTTTTGTCCGGCTGATTATGTAATTTCATTTTGCATAATGGAGAATTTGATCTTTTTCACAATAAAAAGGTTATTTTTGTCTAAAACCTTTTTGATCCCCCACTGCTTTGCCACATCACTCTAGATTGAAGGATATGTGTTAGGTCAACGAAATCACAAGGATGGTTGACCAAAATATCACGCCACATTCTACCGTGATGCACAAGATGAAAACTTGAGGGGTGTAATTTACCCATATAATAATGATTTAATTTATACTCAATCAAACAATAAATAGTAGAAAAGAATAAGTTTCAATTAAACCAAATTACTAAATAATCCCTACTGTACAAAAGACTAAATTATTAGACACAAGTTTAGATTGTTATTTTAGAACTTAAATATAAATTTGTTTATGACATTTATAGTTAAACGGGTTATACGGATTGAACCACATTAACCCAAACACAACACGATTAACTGAACAAATTAAGCGTGTCGACTCGTTTACGACACGAACCCGTTTAAGGTCAACCCAAACCTGTTATCTCGTGTCGGGTTGACAGGTCATGTCAAACTTTGTCACCCCTACCACCCGCCCACAAGGTCACCACAGGTTAGACGGTAAACTTTTTACATTAACAAATTTTATGAGCACATCCCCCTTACCATCCCATTGATTAGCAATCCTCAACCATCAAAGCATGGGAAAGGCATTCACCAAAAGCCTTCAGTAGATTATTTAGGATATCAACTTTCCTGTATTTCTGAAATTTAGATATTATTTAACTGACCTCCCCTAAAGTTGCGGATGGCACTTGCCCTGTTGCCCACACTACTCTCAAGATGACAAGTTTTATACAAGCAAACCATTTTACTCATTGTCATCTATTTTAGCAGGTGATGATTAATTAACTCAACCTTAGAAGAAGCCCAGAGCACACATCCAAAGCAAATGGTTTGATTACATCCAGTCACCAATTTAAAACTCAATCAAACAAATTGACTTTGGATAGCAATATTGCAAAATTAGAAGCTTTTTCCTTCTCAGCTCTCAAGAATCCTAACCATTGGATTTTGCTGAGTCTACTACTACAAAATACAACAATAAATCCTTTTTCGCAACTAGTCCACAAGGTTTTGTTCTTGAGTTTTACCCCCAAAAAGCATCATACCAATCGGAGATATCACCACTTACATATAAAGCCCCTTTCCACACCCACACGATGTGGGATTATGCACTTGTAGCTCGCCAAGTGAGATAGTCTGTTAGTGCCTCTTGTACCCCGCCCACAACACACTCACCCACAAGGTCGCCACAGGTTAGACGATAAACCTTTTACATTAACAAATGATAAGAGCACAGTCCCCTTTCCATCCCATTGATTAGCAATCCTCAACCATCGGAGCATGGGAAAGGCATTCACCAAAAGCCTTCAGTCGATTATTTATGATATCGGCAACTTCCCTGTGTTTCAGAAATTTAGGTATTACTTAACTGATCTGCCCTAAAGTTGCTGATGGCACTGGCAATTGCCCTGTTGCCCCCTACTCTCAAGATGACAAGTTTTACACAAGCAAACCATTTTACTCATTGTCATCTATTTTAGCAGGTGATGATTAATAAACTCAACCTTAGAAGAAGGCCAGAGCCCGTCCAAAGCAAATGGTTTGATTACATCCAATCACCAATTTTAAACTCAATCAAACAAATTGACTTTGGATAGCAATATTGCAAAATTAGAAGCTTTTTCCTTCCCAGCTCTCAAGAATCCTAACCATCAGATTTGGCTGAGTCTACGACTACAAAATACAACAACAATAAGCCGACTATGTAGTGAAACACACGTGTTTTAACTAGATGTCACATTTTCCTAATATTCTAATAGAGAAAACCCCAAATTTTCAATCAGATACAAACCATTAGAAACCATTTACAACACTTTACTTCAAAAGATTATAGCAAGACCTCATTACCAGCAAACAAACTTTTTACTTCCCCTCACAACAACAGCACAGAATAAGATAGTCATTTAAGATACTACCAAAACAAAAATGCAGTTCAAATTGATCAAAGACACTTCCAATATTTCACCAAAGGTAACAACACTACACATACACATAAAACAGAGTGACACATAACTAATGTCATTCATATGCAAACCAAAAAGCATGAGTTCAATATAGACAAAACAGGAACAAAATACTAACATAAGCAGCTACCATTGCACTTAGTAATAAGATCCAAACCATAAGATAGCAATACAATACCTATAAATTCTCCACTTACAGTGTGAAAGCTCGTGCAAAATCACCACCATGAACACTCCAGAAAACATTTCCAGCTTCATCCGACTTTCCGGTATCGACTGCAATGGCCCCGAATATAGCTCGAAAAGTGCCGCAGACTAATGCCGGAGAGGTCGAATTGGTCTTCGGAGAAACCCTAACGATCTTCTGCAAACCTAAACGCGTTCCATCAACGGCACACGACGATTCCACTTTTGCTATCTCCGATATACGACGGTTCAGATCTTTTGGAGAGATTTCTATGTCTTTGCCGAGTGATCGGAGCGCGATCGAAGTGTCGATCACGTTTGCCCCTAAGATGCTCAAAGCTTTGTTGTTCTCTTCCGAGTACGAAGCGTGAGTCATCGCGCGTCGAAGAAGACCAACGCTCTGAAACGTATAGCTGAATACAGAAATTACCCCAACAAAATAAAAAATTAGCTTACGTTTGGTTGATGAGAACCTGAAAAGAAAATAGTAATTGCTTTATAATATTGCATATGGACTTGCCCGATTTGTTTTTGAAGGGTTTCGAGGGCGAGTGAAAATGTCGACGAGGGTTTGAAGGTATGATCATGGAGAGGTTTTGCCGAGTGTTCCTGTGCTAAAGCCTGAAACAAGTAAAATTGGGAAAGTTAGGTTTCGTATTAGGGTTTAGAGAGAGGGTTGTGGATGGAAAGAAACTTGTACCTGAAAAGAGAGGTAGATCGCGAAGGCGAGGAAGACGAAGGGAAGGAATTGACGGGAATGCATTTTCTGGCTTAGCTTACACTTCTTCGTCTGCGAGTTGAAATGTGAGACCTAGATAGACTTTGGTGAGATGGGTCGAATGTCACTGGTATACGGTAGACACCAAGAAAAGAATCATTGACTAAATTGACTAGAGAATTGTTTGTGGGGCCGCCGGCCTACAGTGCACACTATACATCTTTTTATATATATATATATAATTTTTATTTTTATTTTTAATTTTTGCCAAAACCTTCAACCTATTTCCAAATTTACATCTTTTAATCGAGACCAAAGTGATTGTAAAAATTTAGATTTAGGCATTGTGCTTGAGGTTTCGAATTGTAGTATATCTTAAGAGGTTTTGCGAGCCACCGTGTAGATGTCAAAAAAAATTCAAAATAAATTATTTTTGAGTGTCTTATTGAAACCAAAAAAATGGCGTACTAAAACACGAGTGCAGCAGCTGCTAGTGTTACTCAACCAACGTATTATATTTTTGAGTGTCATATTTTATTTTATTTTGTGATTTTCTCTCTATGCTTTTCTTTCGTCTCAGTCTTCAACAAACCAATTCAATTTTTATCCTCAAAACTCATCTATTTGCAATTCATCCCTCAAAAGTCAAAACCAATTCTGAAACATTAAACCAATTGAATATCCTAAAATCTCCTCTCTTAATCGAACACATCATTCTTAGGGCATGTTTGGAATGTGTTATTATATTGTTTTTCTAATATTGGTAAATTTGGGCACATATCATGTTTGGAACAACTTATATTGATTTGGAATAATTTGTACCATATCAGATTTTTTTGGCTCAAACCCATATCACCAAATTGATAATATTGTGTGTTTTGGTACTATAGCGAGGAACTAAAACAAATTTTTTAATTTTCCAAAATAATTTTCATTATCAAAAGTGGTGCCAATTTCTACACAAAACACTTCTACAACAAAACAGATATGTTGGTATTAACCAAAAACATAAATATATTACATGTTAAATGGCCTTAAAACATATATATTGTTGATATATTTTATCTAAACCTTTTTTTTTATGGTACTGTCACACTTTGAATAAAACTTCCACTAGGGATATCTATCAACAATTAATGGATATTTTAGCAACATACATTTATGAAATTTAGATGAAAACATAAAAACATGAGTTCAATATACACAGAGCATGAACAATAAAACTAACAAAAACATATATCATTGCACTTAGTACTAAAATCCAAATCAAAAGATAGCCGTACCTATAAATTCTCCACTTAAGTACTAAGAAAAATAACCCTTCAATAACTATAATTCTCAATTTCATCCAAAGAAATCTGACCCTGACAAGTCAAAATATCCCTATAATTTCCTTTAAAGATGTCCAAGTACCAACAATTGCCGTGAAGATACCCATTAAGATGACTACACCTACAACCACCAATTCCAATCCAACCCTTTTACAACTACTGCCTGTGATCTTCAGGTAGCAAATGCAAGGCAGTAAAACAGATGTTGTGAAACCCAGAAAAGCTCCAACAAGTGACATGAGAGATCCAAAAAGGGAAGAGTCATAGCCACAACAATCGTGCTGATCACCAAGCAGGTCTTGAACAACAGGCTAAATAGTCTCCTATTGTTAGAATGGTAAAATAGACCTTCAATCAAGTGCACTATCAGTATAACCATCAATGAATATTTTGAGACCAGATTGATCAAGGTAGTGTAGATGGTCACTTTTGAACTAATCTTTTCAGTACGATGACTTAAGCTTATCTGCAGGGAGGCACCCAGAAAATTATGTGAAGGTAGGGGCACTAGTGAATTTTTTTAGTAATTTCAGTAGAGCAAAAGTGAAATTATATAGGTATATAATTCAAAATTAAAGAATCAATAAAGGCATAATACTAAACAAAAAAAATTCAGCCAAGTTCGTGTCTGCTTACCTGTGACTCCACCTTTGAGCCAAACATTAGATACCCGGTGACTGCCATAGACATATTCGCTAAGGTACAGAAGAGAAAACACAACATCATAACCTACAAAGAGAAAGCATAACATTAGACCGCCAGTCTCTTGTGAAAAAAGAACCTTAATTAGTTCGATGACATTGGTACATACCTTTGTAAATTGAAGCTTGTTTGCCATAGAAGTGTAGAGGGTAGGGAAAACAGGATGTGCGCTGTAGCAGAAAGCATATAAGCTAGTAGCGGTAGGGATTCCCTTCAAATGTAGAGTCGTCCCTTTCTCATTAAACCCAATCCTACCAATTGCACCAATCCACAAAGTCGAGCCAAGGATTATAGCAGACGTCAGCACTCTAGTGGCAGAGATACAAGACAGAACACTGAGGTCGTTGAACCAGACAGTAGGCATTACCACGAGGCCAACTATCAGTAAAAAACTTTGTATTCCTCCCATGTGTAGTCGTCCAATCTTAATTGCCACTTTGGGGAATAATTTGTGCAAATTATCCCCTATCAAGAGCCCAGTTGCAACCAAAAACAGCTCTACGTTCATCAAAAACAATATGAGCCATCGACATCTTATTCCAAATGCACATTGACATAGGTGAACGTGCATTTGGAATAAGATGTCGATGGCTCATATTATTTTTGATGAACGTAGTAGAGCTATTTTTGGTTGCAACTGGACTCTTGATCATTGAAGGGGATAATTTGTTTGCATAAATTATTCCCCAAAGTGGCAATTAAGATTGGACAACTACACATGGGAGGAAGACAAAGCTTTGTACTGATAGTTGACCTCGTGGTAATGCCTACCATCTGGTTCAACAACCTCAGTATTCTATCTTATATCTCTGCCACTGGAGTGCTGACATCTACTATAAACATTGGCTCAACTTTGTGGAATGGTGCATTTGCTGGGATTGGGTTTAATGAGAAGGGGACGACTCTACATTTGAAGGGAATCCCTACCACTACCAGCTTATATGCTTTCTGCTACAGTGCACATGTCATCGAACTAGTGATTGGTGGTCTAATGTTCCCCTTCAATGATCAAGAGCCCAGTTGCAGCCAAAAACAACTCTAAAAAACAATATGAGCCATCGACATCTTTTTCCAAATGCACGTTCACCTGTGTCAGGATAGGTTGTGAGGTTCGGATCCACGTCCATAACAATGTCGTATAAAAAATGTTGCAATTTTTCCTTCTATTTTTGTTTGTTTCACAGGAGTTGGGTTACTATCTATCCTATATACATTGTCATCTGGAGGTTTCCATTTAGCCCTACATTTCAAAATATAGTTGTGTGAACACACTGGCTGGAATCTTAGATTTAATTAAGCTGGAAATTCTAATTCATATATAATTTATCAACAGTAAAAAAGAGATCTTAGTTTCCTCAATCTAAATTTAAGTTTAATGAACATAGTTTCAGGAACAGTATATGTTGGCATTAGATGGTATATATATGATTCAAAGTCAAGAGCAAGACGAAAAATAATACTAGCTGTATGGTAAAAGCAAGTCAAAAAAAATAACAAAAAAAAAAAAAAAAATTACATATAAATCTAGATAACACTACTCTTTGATACCACTGGATAAGTAGGAAAAAGAGAGTGGCATACCATACTTAAATTTTTAACAGCGTAGTCACAAAATAATGCAGGGGAAAAATAAATAAATGGGAAACTGCAAACCTTTTCAAGCAAATACCAATATGTTATATATAACTTCTAAAGCATGTCACTTGAATATGCATTCATAGCTAAAACTTTAAACTTGAAAAGCATATTATATAACAAAATTCTCAAGGGAAGCTAAGAAAAAAAAACTATAAATCAACAAGTATGTTATTCGCAGCAATTGTTGCCATCTAACTAATTTGCCATGATTAGTGATAAATGCTTCTCTATTTAAAATGCGTGTATATATGTATAATCTACATAGTACCATATTAGTTTAGTAAAGTAAGTTATAAATATATAATATTAATTATTGTCTCTGTCTGTAACTTTGAGGGCATCAGAGCTTTCCATTTCATTGTTGTACACTTCCTAGATCCGATGCATGAAACAAGCCAAAAGCTCACAACCCTATCGTTGGTTCACAATTGTCGTAAACTTTTATGCCCCCAACCATATATCTTTCTCTCTATAAGTCCATATCTATAGAAATCTCCCATGCCAATATTAGTCGAGACGCTCAGAGAACTTATTTTGTCCTAAGTTGGGTAATTCTTATTGGTGGACTCTCTTTTCTTTGATATTTCAGTTTCAACATTTCAGAAGCTCTATCAATACTCAAGCTAATAAAGTTAACTTAAAATTGCATAGAGTCTTCTTTTTCTATTTCACTGATAAAATTAGGGTTTAGAGAGATGAAAAAGAAGAAAGCCCAAGTAGATGAATCATATTACACACCATTGTTTCAAACTTTCAGGAACTCAAAAATCATGTGAAGTGACCAAAGATTCTTGTAACTAAAGAATTAGACACTATGTTCAGTAGTATGTCTTCAATTCTAAGTGCTTTGACTTAATTTGAGTGCATCAACATATTATCAACATCATCAATCATCATCACTAGAGTCAACGTTGACATCAAAATCCTCATAACGTTGACATTAACATCCTCATCTAGAATCGTCATCTAGAATCACGTAATCCTCTTGCATATATATACATTTGATTAAGATAAACTGAAAAGAGACTTCCTATAATAATTGGTCATTTTAAAACCAACATCACTGCTACAATGGTAAGATGATTTTTATAATTCAATTAGCTAGACAAAAAAAAACATACCTTTTCTTTTTCCCTACTCCACTCATTCCAATCAACTCTCTTCTTTCAGAAAAGAGACCTATATTAGTAGGACAAAAGAGGAAAAGTTTTAAAAGCGTTAAAAAACTTGTGAAACATATATTCTGAAATTGAAAACTAAACTTCCAAGTCTTTAATTCCCATTAATAAATTGTTCAAGCATCACATCATAACAATATTATATATATGTACGTAGAAACGAAAACATAAAAAAAAACAAAAAAAAAACAAAAAAAACAAAAACAAAAACAAAAATCAATATGTAAAACATAAATAAATAAATGTAACCAATAGCTAAAAATGCCAATTAAAATATTAGAAAAAGTAAGATTTTGTTACCTGATGACTGAGAAGGTATGTTTCTTGAACCTTATTCTTGCTAAATGTTAAGGCCCGATGCTAACCCTAAAAATAAGAAAACACTCAAGTCGTGAGGAAGAGGTTTCACAATCTCACTCATAACAATTAAAACACCACTATCTAAGTACTACCTGTATCATGTATCAACCTAACCTAACCCAACCTAACTATGCTTTCAATCAAAATGTTGTACGCCTATCCGTAGAAAGAGGTGTAATTATGAATAGGTGTGATTAACGTATATTATACTCAGCTCTTATGTTGAATTAATCCAATAACAAAGTACAATGCATTAGTTTAGGAATAATCTTCAAAATTAATAAATCAATATCATGATATTCTGCATTCTTATAACAAAAGAAAATCAAAAACCAAAATTTGAAAATAAAAATACGGCAGAAAGATTGAATATATCCTTCGTGCATTACACAGATTGTATTTCTATGTAAAACAAAATATTATTAGTAGGGGCGGATCCAATATTTCTCAATGGGGTGGGCTAAATCAAAATATATCAACCAAAATCAACATTCAATTTTAGTTAACTAACAATGTTTGTTTAGACAATTAACTGATTAAGGCATAAAAAATCCTATTTGGGTAATTAATAAAAAAATAAAATAAAAATAAAAAATAAAAATAAAAAAATTACCAATTTACTTCTGAATAATTCACCACTCAGTAACCTATCTCTTCTTTTGACCAAAAACATGCTTTTTGTAAGTATTTTAATTTTCAAAAAGTAAATTTAGAGATTTACCCTAAATTAAGTACTTTTGCTTGTCAAAGTCTTGTAATGATTTTTTTTTTTTTTAGTTCTGAAAAGATTTCCATGTTCAAAAAGCTTGGCATGTTGATAAAAATTGTTTTAGATTCAATCTCTACATATTTCTAATCCAATTCAGATTCTTTTTATTTTTCTTTTTTCATGCCCAGATTCAAATTTTCTTGTAGACATAATTGACCCAAAAAAAAAAAAAAGTAATAGAAATAATTTTTAAAAAAAAAAAATTGTTTTGCTGAAATAAAATGTAGTTTACGGTGATTACCTCAAAATGCAATGCAAATTTTGTTACTTTATATTGACAAAAAATATATATATATTATATAAAAAAGATCATAAAAAAATTCACCAAATAGGATTTAGTTTGCTAAACAAGAATTACAGACCTTGATTAGTTGATTTAGAAAAAACATTAAAACAAAACCCATACATACAAGTTAGCAGTTGTAGAGAGAGAAGGGGGGCAAGCTTGAGAGTTGAGAGCCAGTGGGCTAGAGGCTGAAGCTCGTGAACGGCGAATCCGAACTGGAACAGCGGGAGATGGAAACTGAAAGATATGGGTTTTGACTTTTTGAACAATTTGAAATGATATGCCGATATGGGTTTTGAAATAAGTAATAGGTTTTGAACTATTGATTCTTGCAGACAGATAGATAAACTGAATATATGGGTTTTGAACTTCTGATTCTTGTAGATTTTGTAGTTTGCAGTTGCAGAGAGAGAGAGAGAGAAAGAGAGGAAGTTCAAAGTTGAAAACGAGAATAGAGATGGAGGCGTTTGGGGAGGCAGAAATGATTTGCCCAAAATTATTTTTTTATTTTTTTTCTAGTGGCCCATCATCCATGGGCTTATAAATTTTCTTGGGCCTCTATTATAGTATGGTAGCTGAGTTGACTAAGGCTTGATTGGGTGAGCTAATTTTGGGGTGGGCTAATACTATTAATTTTTTTTTTTTTTTTTTTTTTTTTTTGCCCGGGCCAAAATTAGTATAGTAAATTTTTTTTTTTTTTTTAGGTCGGCTCAAGCCCACTAGAACCGACCCCTACATCTGCTCGATGATAAGGATAATGGTGGGACCATGGATGATGAAGGGCATGCAAGGAATTGGAATTGGTTTGGTGAAATTTTGTATCTCTGAGGCATGCAAGGAATTGGAATTGCTTGGTCGATTCCAATTCTGAACCAATGTGCTATATAGTGCAAGAAAAGTCATTTGTAAGTGCTTTACTTTATCAACTTCTACTTGAAACTCACCCATCTATACAATATTTTTTTGCTTTTTTTGGATAAATTATTATTATTACTTTTTTCTTTTTTTTTTGGATAAATTATTATTATTATTTATCTATACAATATTTTTTTGGATAATACTATTAATTTTTTTTTTTTTTTTTTTGCCTGGGCCAAAATTAGTATAGTAAATTTTTCTCTTTTTGGGGTCGGCTCAAGCCCACCAGAACCCACCCCACATCCGCTCGATGATAAGGATAATGGTGGGACCATGGATGATGAAGGGCATGCAAGGAATTGGAATTGGTTTGGTGAAATTTTGTATCTCTGAGGCATGCAAGGAATTGGAATTGCTTGGTCGATTCTAATTCTGAACCAATGTGCTATACAGTGCAAGAAAAGTCATTTGTAAGTGCTTTACTTTATCAACTTCTACTTGAAACTCGCCCATCTATACAATATTTTTTTTGCTTTTTTTTTTGGATAAATTATTATTATTACTTTTTTCTTCCCTGAAAGTAAACTCACTCATTCAGTTTCCTCGACCTTTGGATTTAAAAAATAAAAAATTACTAACTCTTGATGGCATACCTAAAAAAATTTATGGTATTTCTTTTAGCCAAAAATCTAGAACTATAAAACTGAAGTTATTACGATAAAAAAATAAAATAATAAATAATAAAATTCCCATGCTAGATAAAATCTACCATAAAGATACATGTTATATAAAAAATTTAGAGAAAACTTCTTAACAAGAAAAACTTAATGCTATATTTAGTTACATGGGGACGTGATGGAATTTGTAACTTTATCTCGTCTAATCGCAAATTCAAAACATCGATTCGGTGCTACCAAATGCGACTTTATTATTGGAAGTTCATATTGTTAGACACATGTATTTATAACACGTGTGTGGCCTACATTGCCATACTACATTCATATTCCAATCCACTATGTCTGACACAACGTTACACGTTTTGGGAAGTTACAGCAATGTGGTTGTGGAAAGTTGAAGGTGGTTACCATTTTGATTAGAATAAAACAATGGGTTTGAAATGATGGATCACACTCTCTCTTATCCTTATAGAGGTCCCATACCTAACAAGTATAGTCTGTATCGTCTTCATCAAGTATACGCATAAAGACTTGAATATGCGTGAACATCTTGGGATTTCTCACTTTGTTTTGTAGGCATTAACAAATCTGATTTCATGATAGAGGTAATGCTATCTTCTTTTAGGCTTGATAGTTTCTTACATTTTGTATCAGAGCCATACCTTTTGGTTATATTATCCTTTGGTTTATATGTATGTAATATTTGTTTAGCGATTGTCTTATCATTTTTTTTTTCTAGCCTATAATATTTGTTTAGCGGTTATGTGGTTGTTCTCTTTCTGGCCTGTAATATTTTCTTGGTAGTTCTGTTTGTTCAATATTATTTTTTGTGGGTGTGTTTCTGTCTGTAATACTTTTCCGTTACTGTTTTATTGTTTTAGTTACTTTGACCGGTAAAGTGTTTTTTGTTACAGAATGAAGTGATAAGGGAATATTACACATTGCGATGAATAAAGTGTTCAGACCGAAGCGGTTTAACGACTACTTTAAATATAGGAGAATCTTATCGTGAATTCATACAGTGGGTACAACATTGGCTATAAAAGTGATTCAGACACAAGCGTTTTCACGACTGCTTTAAAAAATTGTGAATCTCATCATAAGACCATAAAAATGGTTTTATAATGAATGGTTAAATGTCTATACATGCATGGAATGTTATAGAAATTTTAGTTATACAGTATACTCTGGAGTTATATAGTTTTGGAAATATCTATAAAAATGAATAATACTCTATAGTTGTACAGTTACTGCATATTAAAGTCTATTTTAAGTATACTCTCATACATACAGTTTATTAAAGTATGAGTACGAATATTATTTTAATGCCTTTTTTTAACCAGAGAGTAGCTACAACATCTTTGGTTGTTTAGTGTGATATAAAATAAAGTTTTACTATATGATATTTATATCACATAAAAATTATTCATTAAAAGGTTATAGTTCATTCATAAAAAATATTTTATTCTGCCACATAGGAAAATAATCATTGTTTATGAATGAACATGGATAAAAAATGAATTTGGAATTAAACTGGCAATGAATACAAATGCCCACAAGACTATATCATTATCGGTTTAATGTCAATAAAGAATGTTTTATCCCATTATGGCTATATTTTCAAAACTTTATTGTATTAAAACATCTTCCCATAAGAAGGTTATATTGACACATTGTTTTGATATGAAATTTTTTAACCTGGGTTAGGAATTTCAATAAAGTTTATTGTATAGTAAAGTAATGTTTGGCATGTTTTCTTTTTGCAGTAATTTCATCTGGTTCTGTCAATATTGGTTCATCTCATATCCTATTTTTAACTGGTGATAATTATTCGGATTGGAAGGAGAAAATCCTTCTAACATTGGGGTGCATGGATATTGATTTGGCACTTTGTGTGGATGAACCACTCATCCCCACAGAATCAAGTACGCCAAGTAAAAAGGCTTCTTATGAGAGGTGGGAGCGATCAAATCGCTTAAGTATGTGTCTCATTAAAAGTCATGTTGGGAAAAACATAAAGAATTTTATTCATGAATGTACTAAGACAAAAAAATACATGGCAGCAATTGAACAACAGTTTGTAAGTTCCGACCAAGCATTAGTTAGCACCCTAATGACCAAATTATCATTAATGAAGCATATGGGTGATAAAGGGGTCCGTGAACATATTATAGAAATGAGAGATATAGCTGTCCAAATGAACTCATTGGAGTTCACCTTTTTGTATCTCATATATGTCCAATTCAATCACACAAATACATAACATGGAGATTATATATATGTGTTTTAACAAGAAGCCCACTAAGCATCTTTAGATCTGTCACAACCCTGAATTTTTCACTAAAATCCTCAATTTATACAAATCTAGATACATCAAAATACACACAGGATCATAAAAAAATACTCTCTTTTATACAAAGTCAATTTCCTCAAATACAAAAAATATCTCCAAAATAAATAAAATAAATCCTGCAACGCCGACTCTTCATCCTAAGCTCGTATCTAGCAATCCCCGTTCATCTTCAGTACCTGAAACCGGAGGGTGGTGAGACAAAAGTCCCAGTAGGAAAAACCATAACAAGAATTTCATGGAGGTTTAACAAAACAGCTTCACAATATATACATAGTCATGTGAGTATATAAGAAAAATACATATGCATTTAATTAAAATATTTAATCAAAACATTTAATTAAAACAATTGAAACAAAACCACTCCAAGCCATTCAAGGTATAGAAAACCCTACACTGAAAAAAAAATTTCCTCACTAAATCATCAAAGCCTCAAGCTCCGGCCTCCTCTGCAACTCTCGGCTCTCTCTGTTTTCTCCTCAATCTTTCTGCTCACTCTTTAATTTTCTAATTTCTCTCTTCTCTGTCTCGGCTCACTGTTCTCAAACTCTTTCTGTCTTTCTTTCTCATTTTCTCAAACTCTCTTTCGGCTTTGTCTTTATTTCTCTGTTTGCTTACTTAGCAGTACACACAAAACGCTCAATTTATAAGCCAAATAAACCGACACAATGTACAAATACCATTTCAAAAATTCAACTGGGTCCCGCCACCCACTCCCTTTTCTTATCATTTCGGTAGCTCCACATGCACCATCAGAAACAAAACCAATTTCAACCAAATACAGCCTCACTTTGAAACGTCAGACAACCCATGTGAAAAGCCAACCAGAAAATCACCTAATGGGACCCACGAAATCCTTATCTCTAACTTAGCTTAATCATTACATTCTTTTCATTTATGTACATCACCCAACAGCCCAGTACCAGCCCACGTACAAAGCCAAGCAACATGCAATTTTGACCATAAAAAAAATCCTAAAATAATATTTCCTTTCTCATTTTTCCTTTCGGCCAAGTGTTCCCCTCTTCCATCAGATGCCAAAATACTATATATATATAAAATATGCAACAACCAAATAAACCCATCTTTAGTGCAAATGATACACAACAACCCACGTGAAATTTTCCAAATAAAAGAAACAATCTTTCACTCAAAATAAATCTGATACAATGCAAAATAATTGACAGAACAAAAATAAATAATCCCTCTCAATTTAATAAAAAGAAAATAGAACTCTAAAAATTCGGATTGTCACAAGATCATATTTCCAACTCTCACAATTTTATCATATTGTCCACAAGTCCTACATCGAGTATAAAATGTATACAATCACAAGTAACTCACTAAACCCCGTAAACGCACGGTCTAATATTTATAAATTAAATTAATACATCAATAAAAAAAATTAGGTATGGAATCAATAACTTCTTTCTAGAATCATTATCATAAGGCATTTTAAATCTATATATACAATTCTAAATATATACACACACATACACATATGCATGTAAAACCCGAAACTAACTCATAAAACACAAAAAAGACGTAACTTTACGTACGCAACATATCCCTACCTCAATGAGATAAAAATTTCAAAAACAAAAATTCTCCAATCAAGCTGCCACTCCGAGTGCACGACAAGGAAAGTGAAAGGAACAACAAAGCCTCTTACAGCCGCCTCCGAATCCAAACCCGAACTTGGTCCCAAAAATCTGAAATTCCCATAATCAAAAACATAAAGGAAGGTTTTGCTCTCCGTGGTGTCTCCATCATAAAACCCTTCTACGAAAACTCGTGAACCCCAAGAGAAACGGATCAAATTGGCTCTTTTGTATAAGAACACAAAAGAAATAAAAAAGAAAAGGAGAAAGAAAAGAAAAACCGGGGGGGGGGGGGGGCGGGGGGATTCTCTCGGCAGATCCCTCTCTCTTATCCAATATACATACATACATCCCATGGAACCCACAAAAGCAAAAATTGTAAAAAGATCCAAGAAATAGAAAAATATTAGGAAAATAATAACACGATCGGCTCAAAATAAAATATGATGTCTAAAAAATACCAAATTAAATATATAGGTCCAATATATCCCAAAAACAATAAATGCAAAGTGTCAAAAAAAAAAAAATCGAACACTTGACTGGTTCGGCCCCACTTAACCCCGAAAAGTCAAAGTTGTCCGAACGCGCTCAAATGGACAAAAACCGAACACATGAAAGTACAGGTATCCAAAATGACTCCCAATGAAAGAAACTATATCAAAAAACGAATCCCGTACCCCAAAATCCGTCTAGGGCCCATATGGCGACTTCCCGAGTCAAAAACACTAAAACGGAGGAAAAGGCCCGAAAAGCATTTCTAAGAACCCATGGCTCAAAGAACGTTAAAAAAGACATCCGTACAAGTATCCTAACCACAATAGGACAAATGGTAAAAACTTTCCTTAATTGCACAAAAGGCCCTCCATGAAAAATATCTTAAATGATAATCGTACTATTGCCCCAAAATAAAATATCTTCCAAAAGATAATTCCACAAAAACCTCAAAATAAAGATATCTCTAAAAGATATTTACACTAATGCCCCAAAAGAAAATATCTTCAAAAGATATTTACAGAAAGACCCCGAAAATGAAATTGTTCCCAAAATATAACCGAACAAATACCCCCACAAAACATAAATCAAAAGGCACACAAGTGCTATGCGAACCCGCAATGCTATGAGGGTAAAATGAACAAGAATAAATTAATGAAGTGTCGAGAACCATTCCCAAACATTTAACATAGTCTTGGGAATATAATAATAATTTTAAAAAAATATCGCTAAAAAAAGAAAAGATGACACGATCATCACAACTACTATAATATATTACATACCTAATAAAGCATTGACTCCGTTGAAGACAGTAGAGGCAATTCCAACAAATCCTTATACAGCTTGTGCTTGGGCTTCATTAATTGCCTCCATGATTAAAAGATTAGCATGAAAAAAGGAAGGGGTGGAGGATATTTTTGCTATTCCCAGCGTTGATGAACACTTTTCTTGTTCATTTTGTTGGGATTTATATGCCCTGATATAACAAATTCCTGTTTGGATTAAAGTGACATATATTCCTGACGTATCTGAAATATTTATACTTTATACAATTGGTGAATTCAATGTATTATATTTCGATTCATTATGGAATTGATAGTGTCCACTTGATTACAAGAGATACTTATATATGTATGTGATGACGATCAATACATGAATTTAAATAGTAATCATAAATAGTTTATAGTCGGTAATTATGGATGAACTCATTATTAACTAAGACTTGAACTGGATCCGACTTAGGTTGAGATATATTACGAGAGCCGTCGTATACAATTACTCCCTAATCACCGTCATGGCATTTGACTCTTAATCATGAGAGAAATATAGACTCTTTTATTAATTAGTAATTACTTTGATTTGTTCGGTGGAATCTTCGGAATCTTTAGACCAGCACTTTGGGAAATTATGTAATTAATAGTTAGAGGGTTATATTTTCAACATTTGCATCATTGTTACTTGTATTTATTTTGTATTGATTATGGTTGATCACAAAGTAAATTCGAAAGCCTTCGTGTGTTTTTAGACAAAATAATTTATTATATATTTATTTATTTAAATTATTATTTTTGTCAAACAAATGTTTTATTGTGATCGAGTCAGAAATAATCGAAGGTACCAAAATAAATATATTGATTAAGTAGTCGGATTAATGGCTTTATTTATCCGATAACTAATTATGCATAGAGGGGTCAAAGTGAAACATTGACTTAGAGGTTATTTATTATTTAATTAGAGTTCAATTAATTTCTTTTAGTGGAGTAGAAATTAATTAATTAATTAATTTAATTGGGTCTATGGACCGGACCGACTATTCATTCATTGTAGCCAAGAAAATAATAAACCCAATAGGATTATCACTCATAGCCCTACTTGATATTGAAATTCTATTAGATTTGAGATATGTGAATTAGAAATGGAGAAGGATTTATTGTTTCCTTTTTTTATTTTTATGTTACCTATATATACATGGGTTCATGTATATTTTAGGGCAAACTTTTGGAAGAAAAAAAAAAAAGGAATATATTTTTTTCTCTCTTTAGATTTTAAAGTTTGATTTCTCATCTAATAGAGGCTCCCACAAGCCTAGTTTTCTAAGGTCATTCATGGAGGCTTATGGGTGATTCCTAAAGACAAGACCATTACCAAGAAGATAGAGATCCAAGGAGAAGACATGTAGAAAAAGGATCTACAATAAGTTATAACATTCACTTTAGAGGAGAAAATCTAAGGTTTACTCAAATCTTTGATGTAAGTATTTAATCTTTTAATTGAATGATACATCATATTTTATTTTTGTATAAAATTTGTCTCTATGTGATGAATCAAGATCTATGTATGAAAATCCCTCAGAAAGTTTTTAAAACTTGCACGTTTCCAAGCAATGATATCAGAGCATGGTTTGATTCATTACTAGAGATCATGTTTTTATCAAAATCATCATTCATTGATCCAAATCGTGTGTGTGTATATATATATATATATATATATATATATATATATATATATATATATATTTATTGATGTATGTTAATATATGATTTAATATGTTGATATATATTGATACATAATGATGATGATGTATGTATAACTCTGAATGGATGATGATGTATTTTTGGGTCATGGATGAAGCTTATAGGTCTAATGTAATATTATCTTTGGATTAATGTAATTAAGGCTTTGATTTAACTATTTGAAAGTTCAATTATGTAATTTAATTTTTTTCATTATATTTCAAATTGTAAAATTTATTTAAAGCCATGTAATCTTCATCAATGATACTATGAAGTTTCAAGAAGGTCCAAGGGGAGAGAAGATAGTTTCCAAGCCGATGGAGGACCCTCGTGCAATTATTAGAGCAATTAAATGTTAAAAGCTAAATTCATTGGCCATTTTATTTGCTTTATCTGTCATTTATTTATTTATATGATGTATGAAATGCATAGAATATATAATTGTTAATTATTATTATTCATGGATTGGATCCATGATATTTATTTAAATGACTTGATTTATATTAATTAAATTATGAAAATTAATTGGATTTGATTACTAACTAATTGGAGGGCACTTATTGGGAAATGAAAAATTATTTTTGTAAATTATTTTAAAAGAGTGCCTTAAATTAAATATTAGTGAATCATTTAAAGTCCAAATATTTTTTAAATTTAATTGGATTAAGATTAAGGCGTTTTGCATGCATTATACCATGTAAATGAATAAATTGAAAACCCTAATTATGAATGATTAAAAATTGAGTGGGAACAGGAATTTTTATACATTATCCCATGGCCCTCGTTATTAAAATCATTGTAATTAGATCTTCAAAAATAAGGCTCCAGAGTCTTAATATTACAAAAATGGTTATCTCATGAAAATAAAAATATTAAATGTTCATTATAATTAGATCTTTAAAAATAAGGCTCTACGCATGATTTAAAAAGTCTAGATTATAATGACAAGATATTTAGTATTTTATTTTTCATTGGAGCATTAATAACGTTATACACTCAATCTAAAATCAATA